GCGGTCTCGAAGGTGGGCGGCGGCGGCTGAGGAGCGGCTCTATACGGTATAGCGGCGACGGAAACGGCGGGGCTGCGTCGTCGCTGAAGGATGTGAGCCGGAGTAGCAGAACAAGCCGGACGCCGTCGTCTTCGTCCTCTGCTGATGGCGGCAGTGTTACGTCCTCGACGGAATGGAAGTCGAAAGCTGAATTGTAATACATGATCTTGATCTTTCCGTTATTTTTTAATAAATTTTATTTCTAGTTTTTTTGTTGCGTTTGTGGTAAACAAAAATAAAAACTTACTGTGCATTAGCTCTAGTTCGTTTCAAATTGTGTAGGGTTTTGTTGGTTGGTAGGTAGTGTTGACGACGACGCACCTGGCGATCATCATGGAGTACGCCGCCGGTGGAGAGCTCTTCGAGCGGATTTGTAACGCCGGGAGATTCAGCGAGGATGAAGTATTTTCCTGAAATTTTATCCCCTAATCCCATAATTTTTATACCTAATATCAATTGCTTCTCTACTAATCCCTCATTACTTTATTGTTTTATATTTAGGCGAGATATTTCTTCCAACAATTGTTACAGTTTTTATTTTTTATTTAGAATGGTTACTAATTAGCATATAAATTTTTTGAAAATTTTGACATTTACATTTCTTTTTCATCTCAATATATCAGGGTATAAAGGTAATTTATTCGCATACAGCTGCAGCACAGCAATTTAACAGTTATACTTCCCAAACAGAATATAATGATTTTTGTACAGCAATTTTTGAAAGCAGCTTTATGTACAACAATTTTGTAACCTACTTTACCGATAGTTGCAGTCGTCCCAAACGCACCCTAAGTTAAGTATTGCAGAGATGAGGATGCTTAGGTGGATGAGTGGATTGACCCTTAGAGATAGGATACGAAATGAGGATATACGTGAAAAAGTTGGAGTAGCTCCAGTGGAAGATAAGATTAGAGAGAGTCGCCTTAGATGGTTTGGTCACATTAAACGGAGGACTTCCGATGACCCGGTTAGGAAAGTTGAGGTATAAGATTTGACTTATGTTAAGAAAGGTAGAGGTAGACCTAAAAAGACTTGGTTATAAAATTTTATAAATTATCTTTTTTTATTAGATTTAAATGAGAATTTGACTTTTAACCGGACAGAATGGCGAAAAAGGATTCATGTAGCCAACCCCACGTAGTGGGACAAATGCTTGATGTTGTTATTGTTGTTGTTGTATCCATAGGATGCTTATTGTTATCTCTTTTTGTGAAATTGTATTTTTCTTTTTTCTAGTCATTCTTAATAATTATCCTTGTCTTACTCCTATCACTATCTAGTGTGAGTGTATATATATATATATATATATATAACTATGTGCGCAGACGTGTGAAAGATAATTCTACACTTAACCTATTTAGCATAATTTCTTCTAGTTATTGCTTGTCATACATTTTCCTCGTTCTATCATGAGTTACCTCTCTACATAATTAAAAATATGAGATGTTAAGAAGCAGCATTGATCTAACTGAGACAAGCAAGTCAATGATTACCTTTTGCTCAATTCCAGGTACCTTCAAAACCTTTTTGTTAACCTCTCTCTTTCTGCAGGACATCAGATAAAAGCATTACAACCACAAGATAAAAAATCAGCAGATCTTCCTGTTAAAACATAGTCTGTATAGCTATCGCATACTACATCCAACTTAGTAACCTTGGGATTGTCTACATAGTAAAACTTGTAATGGTAGTAATTTCACAAGATGCCAAAACTTACAATTCCCTAACAGTTTGGTCAAAAGCTTTCTTCATGCTGCTGGTGAATAAAATGCAATCACCTTTCAGTTAATTATGCAAAGACTTCTGCAAGGAAGACATGTAAGGAGGAAAATTTTTAAAATTAATGACATGGAAGAAATAGCTGTTCATCAAAAGGTTTCAAATATAGAGTAAGAATGTGAGAGCATAATTAAGATGAGCTTAAAAGTCGTCAACGTAGAAGAGTCGTTTCAGAGAAAATAATTTAAAGCATAGCACCAGTAAAAAATAGAAATACTTTACAAGGAATCAAATGGTAACTAGTACTGCGCAAAAAAAATACTTAGAATGAAAGAAACAGAAAGCCAAGGTTGATACATACTGTTAGCGCACTTCAGAAAGTGATCCCAACAAAAATTAATTATAAAAAGAGCCAGCACTATGAAATTGGGCACATTAATGAAGAATTTATTTTATCTAACCTAGTATACAGAAGTTTGATTAAAATGTACAAAAGAGCAACGACTTTGATTCGGGGAGAGTACCAGAAATCTATTTAATTCATTAAACAAACAAATTCACGGAACATGACATCCAATTCAACATAATTTAGCACATTTCTAGCATGTGAACCATGTTACTCTGCAATGGAAATACTTGTAAATTATTTTTGTAGAATTATAGCATAAAATTAAGTATCTAAGGAGATCCTACAAATTTCATAAGATAAATGGTATGAATTTGTTGGATGCAGGTAGGATTAAGGGATTACAAGTACCATAAACCTTCAATATCACCAAACAGCTCATAAGAATATTTGGAATAAGCATCATAATCAATAGCCTTATCCCAACTATTTAGGATAGGCATTTTGAATCATCATTCTTCGTTTATTTTTATCGAGTGTTGTCTAAAGTGTTAAATTTATTATTCACAAATCTTTTTGAACAATTTCTATCCATACAATCTTAGGCTACTCATTTTCATTCCTAATCTGACACTAATTTTATCAGCTTATCTTAATGGGTGTTCAACCTTTTATTGTGCATATCCAAATCATCAGGATATATTTCCAGTCACCTTATTTGTAATCGAAATGTCACTCTTAGCATTTTCCATTAAAATAGTCATTTCTTAATTTATCCTTCCCAACTTTGCCACACATCCATATTAGCTTTTTGTTAGGCCGGTTCTCATTGAACCGGCCCAGCCAGCCCACCTTGGGCTGGCTCTAGTCTACAGGAGGCGAACAAACCGCCCCCACCCCCCAATTGATGCCGCCCAAGCCTAGTGGACCCCACTATGAAGTAAATTAAGGTGAGAGAGAGAGAGAGGGGCAGCTAGGGGTTGGAGGGAATTTTGAGTTAAGGAATTAATGTATTAATAGTATGGGTTGCTTAGGATGAGGGTTATGCATGCTTTGAGTTGTTCTCTTGGGTTCTCTTGTAGTTTTCTTTGGCGTCTTGTGCTCTAGATTCATCATCTAGAGATTGGGAGAGAACAACCCTCCTCTCGAATTGAGGATCAATTGTATCTTGCTTTGTGTTTGCTTTTGCTTTGAATCCACTATTACAATCTATCATTTTGGATTAATTTCATCAAGATTTTCGCATTATTTCTATTGTTTTATCAATTATTGCTAGGGTTGCTTGTGAACTCAAGTATTTTCTCTTGGATTACTTGCGAACGCAAGTATTTACTATCAAATTGGTATCAGAGCGTTGTCTAGGGACCATCGACGGCTGAAATTCTGAAATTTCAGAGGTGAAATTTCATCCGGAAGAAGATCTTCTCGTGATTCTTGGGAAGAAATATGGTCGGGAAGAAGGTTGAAGTTTTAGAAGAAGAAATTGAGCAACTTAAATCAGATTTGGAGGGAAAATTTTCTGATTTTCAAAATCAGATTTCATCCAATAATGAAAGGATGGAAGGGAAGTTCGCCGTGATGGAAGAGATGTTGAAGAAATTGCTAGAAGTGAAGATCAATCCGACAACATCGGAAGCAAAGGAAACATCGGCGGCCATGGAAGAGGTGGAAACCCTAACATGTTTAGGGGAATGTTTAATCAGGTATGCTCAACTATTTTAGCAAGTATTGCAAGTAAAACATAATTAGCATGGATTGGCATGTATCAATACTTAAAGAGAAATATATACCATTTGTAGAATATCAAGATGAATTATATAATCAATTTCAAAGTTGGAGACAAAAAATAATAGCATACTTAAATATTATGCAAGGTTTATGAATCCTATAGTTACACATGATTTATCTTTAGACAATATTATTATCACTACTTGTTTCATCAAAGACCTTTGGCGTGAGTTTAGGAATGAGCTCAGACAAGATTCATTGAAAATATTATATGAGACTTTATCTAGATCTTTGAATATCGGGCATGTTACAAGCATTTTATTAGGGTAGTTGCACCTACTGATTCCTAAGAAAAAACTCAATAACATCTGATCCGAAATCTATGGAAAATATACTAATAAAAGAATCATAAATGACTCAAGTTTATCAAGTTGAAGAGATGGTAGTACATGAATATTCTTTTAAAGATATATTAGATGCAAAATATGATTTACAGTTAAATTATGAATCCATATTTGATTATGTTGAATCTACAGGTATACCTAGACCATATTCATGAATCTAAATCTATACTTAAATCAAGAGTCAACAATTGAATTTGAAACTGAAATCGAGCATCAGATCAAATTATAATCTAAACTTCTAATAGGAATTACATTTATTTTTTAATGTGATGCCATCAAATCTTATGCAGTTAATAAATCGAATGAACAATATGAAAATAAAATTTTAATGAATTATCTGTTGATATTGTTTCTATGATGGATAATTAGAATGATGTTGAATTTTTGTTAAGTTCTTGGTTTACTGGCATACAAATTTATAGCCAAACCTAATGACATGAGCTAAGTGGCATCAATATTTCAAGGAAATTATTAATGATAAATCTCTTTAAAAAATTGAAATATAAAAAGCCATCCATCTGGTCAATCTTGAAGGTGTATAATTTATCATGACTAATTTTTAAACCATTTGATTATCTTTCAATAAAGAGTTTATCCATTCACATAGACATATAATAATAATGTGATTTGTTTGTTGTTAATTTTGTTATCATCGTATTTTCTAAGAGTTCCTTATAGGTCATTAGCATTATCAATTAGAACATCTATTAGTATTTTAGCATTTTTAGCAACTACCTCATATTATAGTATTTTTTTTTTACCTCATATTATAGTAATTATTTACATAATAAGCATAAATTGCAAGAGGATATTCAAGGAAATCTAGCTGCTAATAATGATAATCATAAGATTTATGTTGATGTGAACAGGTTACATGAGAAGTTTAAACATGGTGATCAAGTTACACTGTGTTTAAATTCAAAAGACTTGCATCATGAGCCTTTGTTAAATTCAATGTGAGAAAAGCAAGCCATTTAAAATCTTGTAGTGCATTTTGAAGCTACTGCCTACAAAATAAAATTTAAAAAAAAAAATCACAGCATTAATCCAAACTTCAATGAATTTAGTTTGACCTTGTTTCATAAATATGTTGTTAATTCCTTGGATTCTTCTTGTTATTCACCTTCTCCCCATGAATTTGCATAAAATCCTCTGCCAACTAACCCTGTACAGCTTCTTCCTAAAGCTATTTTGGACATATGAGACTATGACCACCACTGACGGAACTTAAAAATTTACGCCTTCACCTCCTTGTTGAATATCAATTTTTAAATTTATTGGAGTTAAATTTTTCAAACCAAATAGATTAAATACAGCATTGGCTTCTTAATTCTATGTCATGACAATGAGTGGTTACATTTGCAACACTATCACAATCCTATAGCATATTCTTTACAAGTCCATAGCACTTTGCCGATTTACTATTCTTTTGAATGTTGTTACAAACTACTCTATTTTGTTTGCATCTGAGCTAGGGCCTGATTATTACATGTGGAATTATTCACTAGTTTTTTGTTGCAGCATATTTGAATTTTTTTCTGGATAAAATAAAAATCAAACTATCTAGAATTAAATTTGGTTGATCTTGTGCCAACCATATCTATTAATCTAGGCATGAGAAGTATGTAAATAATTGATCTTAGGCATGTAGAGATCTTTTAGATAATATTTTTTTCCCAATTTTCAATGTTATGTATGAAATTAAATGCATATTCTTTTAAGTGCGGCACAGCTGACTGCCTAATTATGGGGTAAGTCATCTCCTTATACCTACATCATGTCATTTTTTTACTCTAGTAACTTCTTTCCTTGACCCTAGTTGTTTTACATAACTTTTTGTTAGATTGCTAATACTGTTAATTTTGTTCAAATCTAACTAAACTATGAATACATTAGTGATAATTACATTATAAGTTTGATGATTTAATGTGGTTTAAATCTCTTCTTAATTTTTTCGGATTTATTCAATCATTAAATTATCGTTTTGTTTGATATGTGAATCTTAAATTCCCTTTACCTAGAACAACTTACAAGCATTTTATCATTCTAGTTTCACCGGGAGACCCTAAGCCTTCATGCATTGATCAATCCCTAATTAGCATGATATCCTAATAAAATATTACAAATCAACTAAGCTTATTGATGCATTAATTAATTAATCCCAAATCAAATCAACTAACGCTGAAGAATAAATTTTCTTATTAAATGGTTATTACTAAAATCACAATTGATTGATGCTTAGCTTGAATTGTGAAAAAAACCAACTCACAGATCTAATCAAGATCTAATAATCCTCTTACTTAATATTCAAAATGTTTTTAGATTTAACTTGGACAAGCAAAACAATTTTCTAGATTGGAAACTCAGGATTTACTAAATCCTAGTTTACATCATTTGCTAAATCCTTCTAAATCCTTCTTGCATCTAAATAGACCCAAAATATCAAAACGACCTCACATATTACAAGATAAATCAAATAAATGTAGACAGCAAGTGAAATTCATAATCATTTGTGGAAGATCTACTGCACCAATCACCCACCTAGGATCCTTAAAGGGGCCACTTTGATAAACAAGACCGACTACTAAAAACAAAGAAAAATCTCCCGTGTACAATTAAAAAAAAAAAAAAGAAGCACTAAAGTCCATAAAGACCTAGAGTTTCAAAGAACTACAGCTGGTTTTGGCATATTGCAATTCCCATTATAAAAATAAACCCAAAAAGAGACCATCACGACGTAATACCGAATCAACCAACAGCGACAAGACGCTAGCTACCGATCCGACGAGAAAGAGATAAATATAACACCAAAAGCAATTCCAGACAACGATAAACCGGAAGATCTGGAAAACTCGAGGAAGTCTAGCGCAATCCTAGCTGCTAAGATAGAAAGCTTGGATCGAAGGATGAAAAAACTAGCTCGAGCATACCTCCAGTGAAAACGAACAGCATTCGATCCGCCAAAGGTTGATCAGCCGCCTCAATCAGAATCCGTAGGAGCTACGGCAACGAATCCCTTCAGTTTCAGCTAAGACGAAGCTAGGGGCTTCGGCCAGCGAGCTCTCCCTTTTGTGCGGATACAGAATATCTGCGAGGCAGGGGAGGCAGAAGGTGTTTGTTGGAGGAAGGGTTCGCGGGTGGTGAAAGAGGTAAGAAGGTGCGGGAGACGGGAGGACTCTCGGAAGAAAGACACGTGTCGGTGTGAATTGTTTTCAACGCGGAAAGTAGATTCGACCCATTTTTACGGTATATAAATGGCCCCCACATCTCATTAATGCAGATGCCCCCTCGTCTTTCCCTAATTTACGAAATTCCAATTATTCATTCACGCCAAATCGCCAGATCCCAAGCTTCGATGGGGCGTAGGAATGAAAATGGGTCAAGCCCACTAACGAGCTTCCTCGAATTCGGTTCATTAACAAGCTCATGGTTGAACTTATAAAGTTTCAAGTCGAGCTCATTGCTTAATTGAACTTGAGTTAGATCGAATCTAAGCTCTGCTCGTTAACTCGTTGAGCGGCTCAACGTGTGCCGACCACGGGAGGTGAATCGCGTGCCAACTAGTGAAACGCGAAAGGCAATGCGTGAAAGGCAGTAGCATGAGCCGAGCTCGAGATTTGACTTACGAGTCAAGCTAGCTAAGCATAACACAAGCTCGACTCAACTCATTTAAACCCATGATGAGGGTATTTTAAAAAAAAAAAAATTTACTCAAAATGTAAAGCTATTTTAATTTATTTTGTGGCATTATGTGTATGTCATGAAATAAACTTGTTTTTACATTAATATAATTTTGAGTATTCTAAGATTGGAGTTTATTTAAAATTAGCTTGAATTATAATATATATATATATATATATATAAAACAAAAATATTAATTGAATTATTTGAATATAATCATATTATGGCATGCTAATTATTTTAGGGACCTTTCAATAAGCTCCAATTTGAGCTAAATGAATACAATTTTATATGTGTTAATTATTTAGAGTCGGCTTAAAATGATTTTCAGCCTATTGAAATTAATTGTTTCGAGTAAATTGACTCGCCTTGAAGTTCTATTTGAGTTTGAGTTGGATGGACTTGGAAATTTTAAGATCGAGCAAAGCTAGATTTGTTGAACTTGCGTGTTTCTATCCTTAGAGATGGGGTATATATTTGGAGAAATTACTACGTGCAGAGTCTGGATGTTGCTCAGACTCCAATTGAAAAAGGCCACGTCACTTATACATAAAATGTGTATTTAAATACGCATACTATGTACAAGATTGTACATAGTCTGTGTATAGGTGATTTGGCATATTTTAATTGGAGTCTGGACTCAAGCTTACACCCAAACTCCGCACGTAATAATTTCTCTTAGATTTGAGTTCAGTTTACTTACCTCACAAATGTTTTAATTTTTAAATGGGATGTGCATATACAATGTAATATGCACATACATATACATATTTGTGTATGTTAGATGTGTTGAATTTTAATTGCATCAATTTTTTTATAAATATTTACCATCAAATGAAATTAACTTTAATTTCAATTTGATTGGAATTTCAAAATATTGTTGTCAGTTTTATCTCATATTAGGATAAAATATCAAATTTTTATGTTAAAATGTTAACCTTAGAAGTAAAAATGATAAGCCACAATAAATTGAATGAAATTATGCACAATATCAAAGAAAGAGAGAAAGTAACATTTTTGTGCTTCCAATTAAACAAGCATGCGCTTATGAGAAGGGGTGAAAGAATTGTTATTTGAGACAGCTTTTTTATTGAATTTGAAAATAGTTTTCTAATATAAAAAATTCTATTTAAAAAAATTTTGTACTAAAAAAATATTTTAAAAGCAATAAGAAAGTTGTCTCTAACTAAACCCTAATGTGGCCATTAAAAATATGGTCCGGTGAATACTCAAGCATCGAATGAAGACTACGTAACTTTTTCAAAGAATTTTTTATAGATGGCTATTAGGATAATTTAGGGTTAATAGTTCATTAATGAATGATTATTTGATGATTAATGGATTATGATCTCCCAAAATAAGGGGTGTCAATTTCGGGTCACGGGGCAGATTCAGGTCGAAGTCTGAATTGATCCGACACTAATCAGGTCAATCCAAACCCGACATGCTTCGGGTTCGGATCAACCCAACCCGACCCGCGGACATGGAAGTGGGCCGACGACGGCTGCAGTGGAAGCCTCACCGCCTTTGTATGCTGCGCGGAACGGCCGCGGAATTGCCCAGCAACGCTACGCTGGCCTCCTCGCCTCGGGACGGACGCGGTGTGAAACTGCATAGCAAGGCGCCTGGCCGCCTGGGGACGCGAAGCAATTGACTGCGACATGATCTGGCCTCGGGACGCGAAGCGATCAGGTAGTCGGGGCAGGCGGGCTTGAGGCAGTCGAGCAGCCGGGGCAAGTGGGGCAGGGTCATTCCGGGCAGACAGTTTGTGTGCATTTCGGGTCATTCCCGGGTTCCTAGGTCAACCCAAACCCGATCCGGTTTTTCAAACGGGTCAGTTTTCAGGACCCGAACCCGAAATTTTTTTGTTCGGGTTCGGGTCGGGTTTGCGGGTCAGGTCCAATATTGACAGTCCTAATCAGAACCCCCTAGTTAATTAAATCCTAATCAATACACCTCTTGATTAAAAGAACTTCAATAAGCTCTGGATTGGTGATTAGTGAATTTTGGATTTACATTTAGGGAATGTTTAGGGATTAATGGTCAACTAAATTAATATCTTATGATTTCATTGCATGAGTCAACATGGGGACTCGGCCTATAAATAATAAATTGTTAAAAGGTTATATGATCTATAGAAATTAACTAATAGCCATGTACTTTCTTCTATTAGACATCATAATCAGATCCAGTAGAGCGAATATATTTGAGGCTTTAATCAAAGTGCTATAAACTTTCTTCAGTCTTATGGTTTCAATTGTCGGTTTACAAAGCGCTCACGAAGGAGGAGAATTGGGCTTTTGAAAATTTAAAATGTTTTTTTTTTTTCTTTCATAATAAAATACGATGCAAATCGATAAATGAATAGTAAAACATAATAATAAATAAAATATACAAAGATAATTACTCATACGAATACTACAGAAAAATGTGTCATTACCGTCGGACTTTCTAGCGGACTATTTTACGTCGGTAATACTGACACATGTACCGGCATAAATTCCACCCGTAATTTACCGACACACATTCTGAAGGCATTTCTTAATTGTCCGGCGCATATTCCTCCGTTAACGACCTGCGGAATTACCGGCGCATAATGCGCCGGCTTACTTAAACTCGACGAATCATTTTCGACATCTTATCCACCGGTTGTTTAAGTTATTATTTAAATGTTTACGTTTGATAATGTAATTGATGATGTTCTTGATCTGAAGTGGCTGTATGAATATAAATAGTGTTGTTGTATTGTTTTATATGCAAGTTTAATTGTGAAAATCAATTTTAAAAGGAGGAAGTTTGTTTTTTTTTTTATGCTACAGATTTCTAGCGAATCTTTCCGCCATAAACAATTACGATAATATGCTACAGGTTACTTTCAAAATAAGTCTTCTGTCATCATCCTAGGGGGACAACCAATCAATTTGATGTCATCACTATACAAATTTTATACAACCAATATAATATTTGCATCAAAGCCAAGGGCTTCGAAGAATTTAAAGTCATGGAGCTTGAAGGAATACCCCAAGATAAAATTTTAAAATCTTCACAATAGGACCTAATATTTCAAGATCAAAGAATTTGAGATTCCTTGTAATTAAATTATATTTTCTTCAAGGAAGTTTATTATTGCTATCACATAGCTATTTTGTAGTTTAATTAATTTTTTTTTTTTACAAATTGCATATTATTTGATAACTCTATAGGAATTTATTTTTATCTAAAATTTCCACCACAAGAAAAAAAAATCAACATAACCTTATGTGAGCCTACTACAACCCAAAATTTCCTCAATTTTGATTCACAAGCCAAAGTTTTATCTTTAATTGAATTAAAATAAGACAGCTAAATATCTTATCATTTCTTGAACTTCATAAGCTTTGTGCATTTCTTCATTAAAAAAAACTATTTTTTGCATGCATTTAAATAAATTGTGTTAAATTATATTTTTAAGGCTAAATATAATTTTATTAAAAAAAACTTGAACTATCTAAAAAAAAGACTAAGGTTTTATTTGTGATGACTTTTTACTGCTTCTTAAAGTAATTTTTTAGTTACAAAAATTAATTTTTGTACTAAAAATTTTTTATTTAACTTGCCTAAAAATTTAAATTATAAAAAAAATTAAACTCAGTTAAGGAAAAAATATCATATTATAATAATATTATAGATTATTGGTTTGAAATTGAAAAAAAAATAATTATTTTATAAAAAATAATGTTATAAAATATTCACATTTATAAATGATCAAAATACAAATAAATTAATATGAAATAATAATTAAATTATTTAAACAACATATTTAAAAAGAAAAATGAAGATATTTTAATTTAAATTATTTATATAATATATTTAAATAAACAAAATCATTAATAGAGATATGCTGTTCATCACCAAAAAAAAAAAAAAAATTAATTTTTTTTAAATTGATTATGTAAATGATGCGTAAAATAATTATCCGATAAATGCTTCCGTCTATTAATAGACAAACTTCCGTATGAATGTCGGTTCATTACAATCGGACGGGCTGTAAAACGTGCGGCCGCTTGATATGGAAAGCCTAATTTACCACCGGTCTTCTTCCCTGCCCTCTTCGGCTCGTACATTCAACTCATGGAGAGAGCGATGAACAATGGTGGAGACTCTTCCGATCTCTTCTTCGATGCTTTTGACGCCTTTTCGCTAGGTTTCAATGAAAGTCATGAGGTTTCTTCACCTCCAGGAACAATTGAAAATCAACCGGAGAATGAGGGCACTGCTGCTAGCCTTCCGGAAGTTTCAGCGACGTCCCTCCGCCGTCGTCGGTCTTCTTCCCGTTTCACCGAGCCTCAACAAAACTCGGACACAAAAGTTCTGAGCTGCGAGCCAGATGCCAACTTTGAGATTTCCACCTTCTGTGAAGGACGGGGCAATATCCCTCCTCCCGATCTTAAAGATGGAACAATCTCCAATGGGGGAGAAACTACTACGTCGGCGCTTACTTCTGAGCAAAACGTTGAAGGGAAAGATAGGGGACAGGAAATTTCATCGCGAATGGATGAATCGTTGGCAACAGGTCATGAATATCCAGACCAGAGTCTCCTACTTTCTCTTGCTGATTTATTGATCAATGCGATCTTTTTCCAGGTTAATATGATGTTTAAATTCTTAACATTTCCGATATGGTTAACCTATAATTCTTTATTATTTGTGGTTAATCCTCTTGGAACGCTAAGACGAACAATAGATGGCCTGAAGAAGAGGATGTTGTGGGTATGCAAGGCTGCCCTGGATATTTTCAGCCCGTTTGTCCCTGATATACTCAAGAGAGAAGAGGGAATTGTTTCATTAGTTGGGAGATTGGTCTGGGGTTGCTTCTGGTTTTTCTATGTTAGTATTGCGCTGTCCGGACTTTTGATAACGGGGTTTCTCTTTGCTAGTATTCTGATGAGCCGAATTGTAGAGGAGCCACTAGAGATGATAAGAAGTTTAAGTTTTGATTACACCAAGGCTAGCCCTGACGCCCTCGTGATGCTAATGCCATGTGATGATGTTGGATGGAATTTAGATTTTGATGGGAAAGCTGGATTTGTGGAGAATGCTGTTAGGCGTCCTATACCACCCAACCACAAACTGCACTTAACCGTTTCATTAACACTGCCTGAGTCTGATTACAACAGAAATCTGGGCGTGTTTCAGGTATGCTTTTGTGTTTTATTGAAGCTCGGGATTGCATTTGTTGAAGCTACAATCTTTTATGTGTTGCACGTATTGTGTTTGCTGAAGAGTAAAACAGAAAATCACCAATACTCATAGAATGCAACGAAATAATTGACAACTAATGTTGGTTTCCTTTAGAACCTCTCAATAAATTTTAGTGGAAAGATTAGAGAGTAGGGAAAAAGATGAGATATTTAGTGTTATTAATACTTAGAAAAAAAATTTGTATTATAGAAAATAATGGGCCATTAATATGTCTCTTTGATGAACTGACTTATGATGTAGAACAAATATGTGAAGATGAGTAGCTTAAGAAAATTTGCACGCTTAATATTTCAAGAACAATATTAAATAAAACTTACGCCGACTAAAATGTTAAGATAAAACATTAAGGCGATAAAACAAGCTTGGCTAAATCACATGCATAGAAGTTAAGGTCGTAAAACAATCAATTAATCTAACATTGCATACGTGCTTGGGTTTCAACGATAATCCCTAAAGTAACAATGAGATTAGTCACTAAGAGATGATCCCTTACTGAACTCTTCCAACTTCTAGGAGTTAGCGGAGAGAATGGCAAGAACCTTCATGAATCACTTATAAACCCCAATGGAGTTGCGACTAAGAGATTAAAAGATTTGGAGGAGAGTTTACCAAAATAATCGGAAGATACGAAGTTCCGGTGGCTCTAGGAAGGCTCGGAAGGAAGTAGGTGGCATCTAAGAACCTTCTTGAAGGTGTGACCGGCAATCTGAAACGTCCGGACAGCATTTGAAGACCTTCCAATTGGTTGAACAGCAAGAAACAGGTGCAGATTTTCCCTGGGACAGCAAACTGCATTGTTGGAAATAACTTGGACAGCTCCTAGGTGGTCTTGGGTGCTTTGCACCCTAGGCTATGGCCTTCCGAGATATAGAACAATAGGTTCCTTCTGCTGGAAACAAAAGACTGGCAACAATAATCTCAGGAGAGCATGGAGAAGTCGTGGGAAAATGCTTGGGGATGGCGGCTGGAGGTGGGATAGGCTTGGGAAGGGGAATTGAGAAGGTTATTGGGAGGATTCAATGGATTAGGGAGGGAAGAAGGGGGCGGCATGTGTTAGAGAGAGGGAACAAAATTAGGAAAGTGATCAAGAGCACTTAATGGCAACCTTGGGAAGGTCATGGGGAGGGGAGGCCGGCGGTATGGTGGTGGGGAGGAGACATGGGCAGTGGGTCTTGAAGGGGAGGGGCGGATGGTGGTTCGACGGTTGTGGGATGGGGAAGGCGGCAGCTGTGTGGCTTGAGGTGGGGGAGTTTTGGGAGAATTTGGGTGGGGGTAGATGGCCGATGATGGAAGGGAAAGGAGGAGCCGGCGGGTGGGGTGGGGGAGAGAAGAACAAAAAAGTAAAATAACGTAAACCATGGGCTGCAGACTCTTCCAAAGACTGGTGGGTATTGCGCTTGCCCTCACTTTGGGCTCTCTCTCTTCTCTCTAGTGCTCTCACAAGAAGAAGAAGAAAACACATAAAATTTTAATTATCATCATTATCATCATCATTACACCAAAATACAAGAGAACTAGCCTATAAATAGGCCTCATGAAAAGAAAAGAAATAAAGGCTAAAATGCCCTTCGGGCTACAACACCACATGACTACCCCTAGAAGTAAAATGGGAAAAATTGAAATATAAAATAAATTAGTACATAAAACACAGAAAAAATAAACTCCAGATCATAGCCGCTGATCTCTGATGTCCTCATCAACTTACCCCTTGGTGAAGAGATCCTTTTTTGGAATATATGAAGCGTTTTTAAATATAATCACACTTTAGTTAATATACATTGTTTAATGATCATAAGACCCACAAGGCATCAATCTTGGTACGAATCCTTGAGCACACAGAGTAAAGGTTATAATCATTAGATAGATCATCTTATGACCCTTACATTGCAATTTGTGTGCCTTCTCTTCCTCTTCTATCCTCTTGGCAACATTTTTTTTTTTTTAAAAAATATCTTAGATTTATTTTCATTGTATGACTTTTGGAGAACTATATATGCTTCCATATTTTGTTCATAATCAAGTAATAAAATTCATAATTTTTTCAACATTTCTTTGTGGTATCCGGGAGATGTTAGAGTTTACTTTTTCCAATCTTTATTCTCTTTCATTCTTGTTGAGATTTTCCTCTCTTCATTATGTTTTGCTTTTTTAACTTCTCTCATAATTACTCAACCATCATGAATGTTGGAAGTTAGTGTAAGGCAAGATTGTGAAAATCAGATTGGAGATAGAACCAAAAGAAGTAGAAGTTTAAAATTCAATGGTTCGATCGAAGCTGAACTGAATGATGTAATAAATATTATAACTTTATAAATAATATTTAAATGATATAATAACTATAAAATAACTTAAATATTATGACTAAAAATAAATAAAATTCATAGATAAATAATATATTCTATATTTTTAAATTTAAATATATTCAATCATTAAATTTAATTTATGTTTAATATAAATTTAGTTTACATATAAACTAATAAATTTTAATTTATGTTGTATATTTAGATATAATTTACATCTATTGATTATATACAAAATTTATATTATAAAAGTGAGAAAAAAAATCAAAATTGTCTCTTGAATTTTTATGAAAGATCAAAATGATCCCCAACTATATTAAATGATCATTTTGTTTCCTCAACTTCTTACGGAGTAACCAAAATAATTCCACACTAAGACTATTTTGATTACTTTTAAAAGACTTGACGAACCAAAATGTTTCTTTAATATAGTTGGGGACCATTTTGGTCCTTCATAAATAATCAAGGGACTATTTTGGTCATTTTCTCTTATAAAATTATATCTATAAATCATATTGGATTGTTTATAATTAAAAACAGATTAAAAAATAGTTTTTTATATTGTATAAATAAATAAATAAATAAAATAAGTATTATGAACTAAAAAATTAAATATTATTTGCATTATAAAATATGAATTAAAAAATATGTATAAATATGTAGTGTATTTGTTGTGAACTTGATAACTTCATCTTAATTATTTAATCTCACATCACGTGGACACTTTATGTTAGTATTGCTTATATAAATTTGATAATTCCTTTAAGTAACATTTTATGTGGGGCCATGTGAAACTCTTGAGTTGGTGCGTATTTGGTAAATGATCATTATAAGAATGTAATGCTCATTTCAAATTAAAATGTAAAATATATTAAATTTAAATTAATTTATTAAGTTTAATTTCATATTAAATTTATTAAATTAATTTATTTAATTATGTAAGTGAGATGTAGCAAATGAAGAGTTAGTTCGATATTGTTAAGGTTGGTTCCTTGTGAATTCGATTCTGGGAAATTATCAGACCTGGTAGCTATTCGTTTCTCGGTTCAACAGGTTGAATTGGCTTGTCCGGTCTGATTTTTAAAATGTTGGTGTAAGGGAGAACTCTAATGGCTATAAACCTCATGTTGCTTGAACGGAAGAATTATTTAAAGTGGTATCAAATTGTGAAGACCTTTTTAAAAGGAAAATGAAAGATCAATCACCTTATGAATCCTTCATCAGAGGTGAAGGATTTGAAGTTTGTACTTTGGGATGAAGTGACTTCTATGATTATGACATTGTTATGAAATACCATGATGCTTGAAATCAGAGGGCCATATGCGCTCCTCTCTATCATAAAAAAAAATTGGGACACAGTTGAACAAATGTACTCAAATTTGAAGGATGTTGCCCTCATATATAATATCAAAATTAAGATTTCAACAATCAAGTAAAATAATCTATGTTATTGAGTACTTTAATGCAATGAAAGTTTATTGGCCTGAATCAGATTATTATTAAGATCTCATAATGACATATTGTAATGATGTGATAATTCTCAAGCAATTTGTAGAAAGAAAAATAGTGTTTAATTTTCTTGCAATACTCAATATTGATTTCGACCATGTTTGTGTATGAATTTTTAAGTAGAAAAAATATACTATCACTACAACAATAAGGAAGGAAGAATAATGGTAATGCTCGATACTCTGATCTTTGAAATATCTATCATGAAAACGATGGAACCCCAATGTAAGAAACTTATTGCTACAAATTCTTTCCCTAATGAACGACAAAAGCTTCTTCCACAGACAATGTATGGTGTAAGTACTACAACAACAACAACAACATCAAGCCTTTATCCCACTACGTGGGGTCGGCAATGTATGGTGTAAGTACTATAAGAAAAAAATGATGCATCAAGGAAAAATGTTGGAAACTTCATAGAAAGTTCTCAGGCTAAGGTGAGAATAAAGAAAGTCGCCAAAAAGGGTAGACCTTTCTTTTGACACCAGAAGGGCTTAATCTAGAATAAACTGAAAAACTCATGAATTTACTTAGCGATCTGAAAAGAATATCTGGATCATGCTTTCTAGCTCGAAATAGCATGACTTTTAACTCTTATACTTTTAGTGTCTTAAATAATTCACCTCAGACCCGAATCATATATTCAGGAGCCATTGATATTATGACCAATATTGCCAACCATTTTCAAACCCAAAAACCCTGCCCCAACAACAACAAAAAAAAGATTGGCCGATGATTTTCTAATAACTATTGTAAGTCATGAAAATGTTTCAATTTTCTTCATATGTACCCTCAATAATGTACTACATGTTTCTCATATTCTAATAAATTTTCTATCAATCCATAATATTACCAAAGACCACAACTACTAGATAACTTTTTTTTTTTAAACTAATCAGTATGTATTTTAGGACCTCATTGTAGGAAGACGATTGGGTAAGCTAGAGAAAATAATAGGCCACATATTTTTTAAGATAAAATTACTTATCATGTTTTTTCATTTCTAATCTTAATATAAACGCCAATTGGGAACATCATTATAGGCCAGGGCATCTTTCTTTGAAAACTATATAATATATATTTCTTTCTCTTTTTATGAATATAATTATGCAAAATTTTATTTTAAGATTTATGAAATATCAAACATTTTTGTGTTGTTTTTTATTTAAGTGATTCTAATCATATGCTCATTTTTTAATTATTCACTCAGACATTTAGAGACCTTACAAAATTCTTAATATTAATGGATTTATAGGATTTATCACCTTCATTGATAATTGCATTGGGATGACATGGGTGTATGTCGTCAAATAAAATTCTGATTTCAACATTATTCTTCCCATTTTGCTGTTGTAATGCAAAAATAATTCAATGCTAACATAAAAAAATTTCAGACTAATAATCCTTGTGATTATATTAATTGCATGTTATCATCTTCTTTTAGAAAGAATGTATTAACCATAAATATTCTTTTTTTGATACGGCCAACAAAATTGAATGACATAAATGAAGAATTGCCACATTTTGGAAGTCGGTATGACTCTTGTGTTTCAGAATCAAGTGTCAAAAAATATCAGGGAAAAGTATTCTTAAATGTCACATACTTAATCAATAGAATACACTAAAGAGTGATTGACTTCTAAAGTTTTCTAAACTATTTGGAATTACAAATAACTTCTGAAAAAATTATATCAAAAAACTTGGCATGGCCTTAAACATTTAGCCTTGCTGGTTGGAGACTTGAATTCTTCTTCTTATTAACTTGGCTCGATGATTACAGAAGTAGTACTTGAGTTCTTCCTAATAGAACTCTTACCCGTTTTTCTCTTATAGTCGCTCTAGGTTTTGCAAGTATGTCAAGAAGTTCATGTAATGCCACAAGGATATTTTTTATAGGAGGTCTAGGTGGATGCTTAGGTGGATGAGTGGCTTTACCCTTAGAGATAGGATACGAAATGAGCATATATGTGAAAAGGTTGGAGTATCTCCAGTGGAAGATAAGATTAGAGAGAGTCGCCTTAGATGGTTTGGTCACATTAAACGAAGGCCTTCCGATGACCCGGTTAGGAAAGTTGGGGTATTAGATTTGACTTATGTTAAGAAAGGTAGAGGTAGACCTAAAAAGGCTTGGTTAGAAAATATTAGAAATGATCTTTCTTTATTAGATTTAAATGAGAATTTGACTTTTAACTGGACACAATGACGAAAAAGGTTTCATGTAGCCGACCCCACGTAGTGGGACAAAGACTTGATGTTGTTGTTGTAGGTCTAGGTGGATCAAAATACATTGGTCCTCCATATTTATTGATGCTTCTCCTTAATAATGACTTGTAGTGCTCTAACTCCTATGTTGGTTCTAGATTGATGGAAGATTAGGAGTGTTTACTAATTGGTCATTGCATAAGCATCAAGTTGAGTGCCATATGACATGAACCAAGCAATTGGTCTCCTGAGGCGGTTTTAGATAGGATGAAACACTGGTGTCAATTGGAGGACTGAGATCTATGGGATTTTTCAGTGAGCTACTGCTACTGTAAAGGTCAGGTTGGAAAGGTTCCTTGGAACCACTCGGGATTTGAGATCCCTCGTATCCCTCTATCAGACTCATGCTCTTTGATCCCTCCATGGTTTGTCACCTTCACGGGTTCTCAAGCCTCAATCTTGAGGACTTCGTTTACTGTATCTCATGCTTCTCAGGGTTTGGGACCTTGTCATCTTCATGTGCTAAAGTTGCTTTCCCCTGCGTTTGAGGGCTTTGAGCTGAGCCTGTCTCCTGACCTGTGGTCGTTTTGGCTCTTATGATATAACGTGATTTAGTTTCTTTGCAGCTCAATCAAATAAAAAAAATGGTACAGAATATTTTTCCCCAATTGGAGAAGCGAAAATGAATAAATGCAAAGCAATAAACATGAAGCATGAAAACAAAATCAGGCGCAATTGCTCTTAGGAAGGATTAACCGTGTTTTGATATCTGCTTGATGTGGCGGGAGGAAGGAAATGGCGACTGCAGCAGCAGCAGCGAGGCAAAAGTAGGCTACAATTTTAGATTTTGTATATTGTTGGATTCATGATTTTAACATTACAGTGGGAGTTTTAAGGACATAGGGCTCTTTGGGGAAGGGACGTGGAATTGGATGATTGAATAAGGGTTAGGTGCATGGGCTTACGATATGAATGTAGGGCTGTTGCGAGTAAGTGTCATGAAGGATCATCATCTACTGTTATATATTTTATTGGATTTTAATTTCCAATGCGGCAATGCTATAAAGGAGCTGAACTTTGGTTTCAACAATGAGGATGAATCACTCAAATGGCTGTAAATTTCTTGAATTATCCTTTGGACATATTAAAGTGGAGAGTGCTCTTAGTTTTTAGATGAGGGGAGAGGGACGAGCCACCTAGACCTCTAGAAGAGGAGAAGAAAGATGAGGAGGGACAGGAAAGTGGAGTTTATTTTGGAGAGTAAGTGAAGTTTAGAGTCAGGTTTGAACCAAAATTTGTGGAGAGGGATGCAGTACTTTGAGCTGGCCCTCTCCGGTCCAGATGTGCAAAGATCCCCAGATGTACGATCTGGGAGTTCATCTTGTAATGCTAGTGCTCATTGGCATCATCGTGGGCCAAATCAACAGAGGCAATGAGGTATTCAATGACTTTGGAGTGAGAGTGGTAAAAAGCAGGCAACATGGATGATTTGTTGGTGGGGAATGATGCAAAAAAGGTGGATTAGTTGTTCAGTGGAGGGGCTGAGGGAAAGGTTCAGGGTTAGAGGCCTATAAGGTGGGCATGTAAGGTGTCGTGCTTGTGCCAGCACTTGCCCCCAAGTGGGCTCTTATTCATTATGGTAATTGATATAACACATTAAGTAGATGAAAATAATCAAGTTAAAAACTTAATTATAAGAGGTAAGATCAAAGCCCAAAGAAAAATATTAAAGAAAATGTCCAATTATAAGTTTCCACACAAGAGCCTAATAATGAACCCTTATTTTTTAATATTTTAAATATAATTTAGATTTTATTTTTTATTTAGAAATTTGTATGATCAGTCATGATATGATTTTGTATGGATGAAATATTAAAAATAGGTGATTGGCCACCCTTTCTTATTAATATCAACTTACCCCTTTTTTTCTCTCTATTTTCCTCTAGTTAAAAAAATGGTTACAAATTAGACTTGTAATGACTATAAATATGGGCTGAAATATTTTGTAATTTTATTGATGACTGAGATATTTTGATTGTTTATTGGGTACTTGGTGGCTTCAAGTGGTTTGCCTATCTTTTATGAATTAGATAGCGATCTCGATATTTTCTTTAAGTTTTTTGTTACCCCTCTTAAACATTTACTCCAATCTCTTCATCCACTTTATAAGCATCATCTATGGTCAATAAACTGACAACCAAAATCTTAAAATCATTCTATACACTTTCACATAGCTCTCGGCTAAACTATGAAACATTTGAACCTAATATTATTCCCTACACCTCAACGGTCTCTTGAACTCCACCAAATTCTACCATTAACTCAAGATCATAAGTTTACATTTCTAAGCTAACATTCCACTATAATTTTCAGCCATTTACCCACAAACAAGTCACTCCATAAAGTGATATTCCAAACCACTCGCATATTGACCATTTCTAAATATATTTCAATAGTTGATGCATGGTATCTTGTGAGCTAAGTAGCTGTACATGAAAGTCTCGATATGTTCATTTCTCTCTTCATATATAAAATGATTGAGACTTTGTTATTTTTTACTTTTCTGATACGACTAAAATGCACAATATTGGTTTCACCTTAACTATCTAAATTGCAGTATAAAATATTAAAATGCTGAGCGATTGCCTATTTGGTACCCTAGATCCTTTTTAATATTTATTTTTAAATTATTTCTACAGTTTCTGTCAAAAATAGTATCAAACTCTTTTAACAAATGTTAAGGATTCTGTTGTTGTGATTTCATATTTGTACATGGAGTATATAGACACCTGCACTGTTTTGTTGTGGATTAGTATGCTATACTTTTATCATTCTACCTATGAATATCCTATTAAGATGTTAACCCTGGATCTTTTATCTAGTAAGAATCAATAAAATCTTTCCAAATAGTTTTCCTTTTGATTTATCATAATTGATATTGACACAGCACCTCAGTCCTCAAAGCCAATATTCTTCTTGTTCATCACTGTTTAAATACTGTGGTAAAATTTCTCATGTGTTGTTACTGCGCTGCTATTAATACTACCACTACAGAGCCTTTTTCAGGCCTACAAATCTTTTTGCAATTCCATAGATAGTTAATTCTGTACATATCTTAATCTATATGAAATTTGTATTAATTATCACTCATTCTGTGTATTGGCTCGTTGAGCTAAGGTCAGGGTAGAGTTTATTTCAACAAATGGCAGAGTCACCTCTCGTTTAAGCAAACCTTGCATGCTACGTTTCAAGAGTTCTCATATTCGCTTAATGGAGACCTTTATCAAAAGCGGCCCTCTGCTAGCAGGCTATTCCTCTGAGTCACAGGTTATTGATTTAGATTTGTCAGGTTTTACTGAAGGAAATGAACCAACCATGAGCATTAGGATAGTTCTTGAACAGCGCGCAGAATTCAGGCCAGGTGCTGGTATTCCTGAGATTTATTCTGCTTTTTTAAAACTAGAATCAGAGCTTCCCATACTGAAAAGGATAATATGGAACTGGAGGAAAACGCTACTTATCTGGGCTGCAATGGGATGTTTCATCTGGGAGTTGTTGATTGTGTTGATCTGTTGTAGACCTGTACTATTTCCACATGGAAGGCCAATTGATGAGGTTTCTCCGAACGGGCAACAACATACTTGATTGCGGTAAACAAGTTCATGTTTTCTTCTATTTTTATTTCCAGATGTCTTCCAAAAAAAAGATTCATGTAGCTGACCCCAAGTAGTGGGACAAAGGCTTGATTAGGGGTGTCAATATTGGACCCGACCCGAAAATTTTGGGTTTGGGTTGACCCGAACCCGAAACGGGTTGTGTTCAGGTTTAACAATTCGGCCTGATTCAAAAAATCGGGTTGGGTTCGAGTTGACCTTTTGACCCGACAATCCGTGATTGACCCGTTTTGGACCCGCGTTGACTGGAAAAGTGGAGATTGACCCGTTTTGGATCCGAAAACTAGCAGTTTTTTGTTGGCACCGGGTCATTCGGGTCGGGTTGGATTGACTCGAACCCAACGGGTCGGGTTCGGGTCCAGAAAACTGACCCGATTGCAAAAACGGGTTCGGTTCGGTTCGGGTCGACCCGAATAGTGCCGGGTCAGTTTCGGACCCGAACCTTACTCGTGACCCGAAATTGACACCCTAGGCTTGAGCCTTGATGTTGTTGTTATTATTGTTATTGTCTTCCCGCTCAAGTTGTCTTCTTCAGGTGCATTGAATTGCTGGGCTGCGACCAAGTATGTTCTTATGCCAGATAATGCTCAGAAGTTAAACATAGAAAGAAGAAAGGAATTGCTCAGCATCAATGTTTTTATCATCTTGATCACGTATCATAATTTACAACTACGGCCATTAAGAGTAATCAGGAGTACAAGTTTTGGTTGCAGAAAGTTCTATGAAATTACTTAACCAAAAATCAAAATTCCAAATGAATTTATTCCTGTTTCAGTGTTGAGTTGCTTCAGTTAATGGATAAGAAGAACTTATTTATGCTGCATTTTGCAGGCTGTTTGCCTATTATTAATGCAAATGCCTTCATTTTGTTCAAATCTTATGTTTGTTCTTCTTCATTGAAAATGTTGCACTGGTTGTGAATATAAATAGAGGTTTAGTTAAAACATCATTGGCATTGGAAGAACATAGTCTCCTGTAATTTGTTGAGATTTTTTTGCATGTTATGTGCATGGTGCAGCTTTTGACTTCTTGAACTTGTATGGTAAACTAATTATTTTCTTATTAACATAACTACATAAGTTTCATTGTATTAATATTATAGCTCAAGTACCATAAGCATCATATGAAACAGTTACAGTAGTGTTGCCTGACGAAGTATATATTTGATTTGATGTAGGAGATATAATAACTCAAAATCTTGGCTTGAACTTTTGAGATCTGTACCAACTAAGCTAATTGACACTGACTAGACTAATAAGTGCCATTTTTGTGTTAAATAACATTTTTGTATGCTTGATATGTGACAGTGGAATATGTTTGTTTGTTTTTTTTTTTTGGGTAAAATGAAGGCATCAATTATTAAGATGACAAAATTCACTGACGTAGTGAAATATGTCATCATAGTAGTCGATGCCTTCAGCTATTACATTGGGAGATTATTTTGTGCGGACATCGGACGGGGAGAATCGTCCGGTTTGCCTCTGTGAACAGTAAAAGCGCAGTATGACAACGCTTTTTCTTTTCACACTTTTACTATTCACAGAGACAAATCAGAAGGGTTCTACCTGTCCGTTGTCCGCACAGAATCCGCGCAGTCCATATTTTTTTATGTAATTGAGTCCACATGATTTTAGCTACTAACTTGTGTGTTATCTTTCATTAATTATCTGACCATTTTTTTGTAGTTTATTTGTTTATGGAAAAAAAATGGAAATCCGTTGTGTCATATTTATGCTTTGTATGAGATAGTTTTTTTGCTGTTTTTTAAAACAATTTTCTAGTACAAAAATTTCTCTAAAAAATAGTTTTAGAAATCAATAAAAATATTATATCAAACGAAGCCTTAATCTACACTTAAGAATAAGAAAGCACAATTAAAACACATTAGATACAATGTATTTATTGTTATTATTTACTTTTGTTATTTTTAAGAAAATTTTAAACAGGATATTAAAAATCTTTGAAGTCGAGGTTATTTCTTTAAGAAAATAGAAAAGAAAGTGGAGAAAAAGTTTCTTGAGTAATAAAATAAATGTTATTATGTTGCTGCTAGAACTTTTATTCTATCAAGTGAACGTACGCAGAGGAAGGTTCGGTTTTAGGCAAAAAAGCGCCTGTACCGAGGTGTACCGAATTTTTTCAAAAAACTCGGTACAAGGGCTTTTTTTGCTTAAAACCGAACCTTCCTCTGCGTACGTTCACTGGATAGAATAAAAGTTCGTTGCTGCTGTGCTCGAACATGGAGCGGCAGGAGCGCATTTGCTGAGAAAAAAATTCTGAGAATTTTTATTAGCAGTTTTAAATGCTAAAAGAAAAATGATGAGTTTCTGATGTGATGGTTGCTAATAAGGCAAACATAAAAGTTGTCGTGATTATGCCCACACCCTCAAATGCTAGAAAGATTATTACGTGCAAAGTCTGAATTGAAGCTACGTTCAATTTTTGTGAGTTTGCACAGTAAAAGTTGTGGTGAATAGTAATTGCACTTTTCTTATGCACACTCATAAAAACTAATCGGTTATTCCATTTGGATTCTGCACCTCCAACTGCTAAAGTTGGTTAAGGTGGGATTATCGAGGAAGGGACAAGTAATAGGAAGCCGGAGTACGAACTCACATTTTGGAGATTCAAATTAAGCTGGCCATGCCTCCACGAATCTAAAGACAGTGTTCAATATATAGTTAGTAAAAAAAATTCAAATTTCTCATTTTTAAATTATTAGTGTTCAATATATAGTTAGTGAGGTTTGATTAAAATTAAACTGTTACTCATAATTTCCATTAAAAAATAAAAAAGTATACTTAGCTAATATTTTAAAATTCAGAGCATGTTCAAATTCATTTAAATTCAGTAATAAACAAATACAAAATAGTATTAATTCAGCTTGATTTGATTTACTTAACGGCTTTTCGTCTTTGGTAAATGAGAACATAGATTATGGAGTTGAAGTAGAGCAACGGGATTGCGTTGCAGCCTATTGGTCGACGGAAGCAATTCCTCCTACATATCTCAGAGTGGAGTATGGAAAAGAGATAAATTGACGTGCAAAGTACTGTATGATAAGAGAAATATCATGAAATTTTAGTTTTTTTTCAATATGGCACTTTTAGTAAGAGTTTAGCTATTTTGACGTTCATTTATTATTTTGAGTATAATTATGATATTTTTTATTTAAAGATTTTAGTTTCTATAAATATTCATATATTCAAATTTAAGAGACAACTCTATCTATAGATCAACAAATGATAAAGATTGTTAAATGTGATTAGCATTAATGAAATACAATTAATGATGATTAATTTTAATTAATTGAATAATAAAGTTAATTAAACAAAAAAATTAAGTCATGATTATAAAAAAGTTGTTTTAATTTAACAAGTGGCAGTGATTAAGTAAAATTAATAGCCAATAAGAACATTTAAGATTACACAATAAATAATTTTATGATTTTGCATGATAAAATATTAATCTTCTTTTAGATTTTTAATATCCAAATCTTGATTTAAATTTTTTTTTTTTAATTTTGAGTATGAACAAAATTTTATATTTACCTTTTTAAACAATTTCGTGATATTGATGGTATATAACATATAAGTATTAGTAGATTGAATTTTTAGTTAGGTTATTTAAAGTTTATGGAGGATTAATTATATCATTGCCAATGCTCTAATTAAACAAATAATTTCTTAAGTTAATCCATTTGACATCTAGTCATTAGAAGCTAATTTAATTGACAAATAGCCATTACCACACCTAGCTAACTTTACCTACTCCACCAACCCACCCCTTTGTCATCACATTATTTTGATTATTTCTATGCTTGGATTGAGTGTGAGATGCTACAATTTTTTTTTTTAGAAGAAATGGGATTTCAATGAGAAGAAAAAAGAGGAGAACATGAAAGAAAAAGAGGAGAGAAAAGAGAGAAAAAAAGAGTTAGTAGTGATTTTCAATAAAAAATTTCTTGGATTCCTTATGTTTTTCTACATAGATGTTGGCCTTATTGATCCTACTATGATGAAGGGAAAAAAGTTGGCTTATTATTTATTATTGAGTGATAGAGGTTTTGAAATGATAGAGAAAATGTGTTTGACGTCTTAGTTTTACAGAATATGTAGCACATGTTGAGATATTGAAAAAGTAACGAAAGATAATATATTGAAACCCTAGGAAGAGAAAATTCATTGGGCTTAATCTGGTTGAAATGATCTCGCTAAATATGTCATTTCTTATGATTGAGAAATGCGTTGATATAACTTAATGGATACTAAATGTAGATGATTGATTTCATAGTTGACGTTGAAAGGATTTGAAGTGATATTGCTTTTAATGCTGAGGGTTAGAATCAATGTCAAAGGCGTGCCTCTATCTTGCTGGCGATGGTGTGAGTCTAACTTGTTGGGTAATAGTACGCGGGTAATGGTGGTTGAGAGACCATTGTTAAGCAATGATGGATGGGAGGTCGAAGTTAGATGATAGTAGTTGGGAAATCATAATAGAATGATGAAGGTCAGGAAACCATAGTCGGGCAAAGATGGATGGGAGATCATAGTCGGACGACTGTAGTCAAGGGAAAATTATTGAGTAAAAGTAGTGAAAGATCATAGTCAGATAATAATGGTTGGAAGACAGTAAAATGATGATAATGGTCAAGAAATCATAGTCCGTTTATGGTGATTGAGAGACCGTAGTTGGGAAACAGTAGTAGATAAATCGTAGTCTGATGATAGTTGTTTTGAGACCGTGGTTGAGCAATAATGATCGGGAGACTAGTTAAGTGACAATGGTTGATAGAACACCATTGGTGGATTGTAGTACGAAGATCATAGTTAGATGTTGACAGTTGAGATATCATAGTCAGGTGACTATGGATGGGAGAATATAATTGAGATATAGTTATCTCGAGACCATAGTAAGAGAATGGTGGTCATAGGGTTGTCATCGGACAACAGTGGTTGACAGGACCAAAGTTAGGCAATGATGGTGGGAGTCTGTAGTTGGCCTATGATGGTCTCATACCTCAATGTTGTTAGGCAACAAATATTTGTAGGTTGTAGTCAAACGATGATGGTCAGGAGATTACAGTCAGATGGCAGCAGTAGGAAGGCTATAATTAATGATGATGGTTGGGAAATTGTACTCATGTGATAGTGATTAAGAGATAGTTGTCAGGTGATGGTGGTTGGGAGGCAATATTTGTGTGTTCGGTTGGTGGCTTAAGCAGACAATGATGGTGGATCGACTGTATCTTGATATATTTATATCAAAATACCTTGATGATTTTTTTTTCAAAAATTATTCTTTTTTTTTGTATCAAAATCTCAGCATTATATATTGATATAGCTATTTTCTTATAAGTCTTTAATTTTTTATACATATGTTATCTCAATATAGTAAACTATCGATAATATATTAAAACGAGTCATATAAATGAAAGACTACTAAAGTATATCTAAGTAAGCGTTAAAAAAAAAAAAAAACTATATTTTAAATTTATTGATGACTAATATTAATGTTAATTCTTATTAAAATTTAGATATGTGTTGTTAAACATTTATTTATTTTCCGGAAAAATTAGTCGACGTTGTGAACAATGTAAATATATATTATAATATGTAATAAATTTATAAGATTATATTATATAAATAAGAAAAACAATGGCAAAATATATTGTATATTAATAATTAAATAAACTCCAATATTATATATATGATATTATATATTAATAGTATATATAATATAGTACCCATTAGTAATGTATAGTGTAAGTTAAATTAATATGTACAGACAGAGTCATAATTGTTTTTTAGCTATTCTTACAAGAGTTTTCCATTGGTTTTCACCCTTCGATAAAAGTTATTTTATTCATCCAAGGTTGCATACAAATATCACTTCTGTCATGCGTTATGTACCCAAAAACTTCAAATGTTAGTCATGATTGAGTGCATGAATAACTTCACTTGGATAACTATGGGCGATATACATTCCCCATGTTATGTTGATGCATGCATAATGCCACCTCTAACAAAATTCTTCTATATTTAATTAAAGTATTATTATTTGACATTAATAGTTATTTTGAGTATTGTTGAGATATTTGCACCTTTGGGACTCAAAAATTTTTGCCTTTCATTTAATCAATCCTAAGCATTCTTTCGCTTCCCCCACATAACCAAAAATGTACTTTACTCTGAATACAAAACCACTCCTTAAGAAAAAGAGAAATGGACGCCGCCCTCCTGCTATAAACTTCAATTAAGTCAGTAATTAGCAAACTTTTTGAAATATTAATTATCATCAAGCTATATTCTATGGAAGAAAGCATAAGCCCACTACAAGATAACTTCATTATCTATATATAAGTAGTTTTGATTAGATTCCTAAAAGTTATTGTATCGAAATTCCTATTAAGGCACAACTCTTCTATAAGCATTTAAAGTCAAGGGATATTCCTTATAAAAATTATTAGTTTTGAACTTCATCATGACATTCATTATGACCATAAGAGTGCAAGCTCAATAACCTGCCTAAAAAATGGTAGGTAAAATATTAGTGATATTATTATGTATATTAAAGATAAACATTATATTTTCTATTATATATACTAGCTCCCCTAGTAATGAAATACATCTACAACACATTATTTTTTAGTCAATTACCATAGTTATCATTGTATAAATCTAAGAATTATGGTCCTACTGTCCTAAGCAAAGCAGGTTCAAGACATGTATTCAAAAGTGCCCATCAACACTTAGCATTAGACAATATATATTTTTGAAGCCTTGAACACAAACATCTCAATAAAAGTAAACATACTTGAAACACCCTTCATGGTCAAGGTAAAAGATCTACACTTGTCCTTTAACTTTTTCTAGTGTAGCAAAGCCAGAAGAAATAATAACTTTTGACATGAAACTTCATAGGAACCTTTTACATAAGCGATGTCTTTCTCACAAGATCATTAAGCCTTCTTATAATATAAATCAATGTCATAGTCCAACTTCAGTTACTTCACATCTAATATGATCATCTTTGGATCATACTAGGATCATATCTAATGAGCTTCTTATTTACCATATATTTAATGAGTTATGACTAAACTTGTTGGCGATTGTTTGATATAACATCAAAAGTACAAGCGTGTTTTGATTCAATGCTCATGTTCTCAAATATGTTTGAGCTCATCAATATTGTAACTTGTATGCTTTATGAGCATCTCTCTGAAGTGAAGATAATATAGTATACTTTTTTACTTGGTTTCTTCATCTTGAATTGAAAATTATTTTTCATTACACGGATATGTTCATCCATTTTAACTTTTTTTTTTACTCCCAAATGTTGCCCTTAAACTCAAGCATGATGCCATTATATTAATGTCTATTGAATTGGACGTACTTTCATGCATTGACTCTTGTATGATAACAATTATTCACGTGTTTTTGATATCTTGAATTGCTACTTTTAGCCATAAAGTACATAAATAATCAAGCACCCTCACCCTTTTATTAATTTTAGGTTGATCATAAATTAGGGTTGTAATATTCAATGTATGCTTTATTATTAGAGCATGCATTGAGCCACTATCATATGAAACATTTATATCTACAACATCACCTACTTTGCATGTTGTGTGTTAACATCATCAACTACTTTTGCAAGAGGTATGTCTATATTAGCAAAATATGATGAATTGATTGACTTTGCAACATCCTCATTGCACAAAGAAATCACAATTGAAATCTTTTTGGGAGCAATAAACATACATATGAAAGATTGATGTTGAAGAAATAATGATATATCATTCAACAAAAAAGTAAGATAATGCGTTTGTTAGTAGGACAGTTTGAAGAATTGAAATTGTGGACTTTCCTCCATCAAAGTGATACATCACCTCTAATTTCAGATTAACATAGTTCTTACCGTCTTTATTATTTTATATAAGATCTATGAAATATGTTGGGATTTCTTAGAGAGAGAAAATCTTCTTGATTACATGCTCTTCTTAGATGTCTGCTCCAAGAGAACGAATGGAGGGGGCACGAAATAAGAGAGCACACCTCTCTACTTATAAGACTAATATAAGATTAAATTGAACGTAGAAAATAAGATAAGTAAAAATGAACCAAAATACTAACAAAATATTCAATAAAAATACTTTTTTGTACCATAAATATTTTGTCATATTTAGATGAAGGATCTTAATGAAGAAAATGTGTACAAGGGTGAGATGTTATTTTTTCTATAGAAGAGTAAAAAAATTATTTTAATTTAAATAAAATTACAGATATATTTATCCAATAAAAAAAAGGGAGATTTACATACATACCATTTAATACTATTCTATTTATATATTTAACACCTAAAAAATTAATATTATATACATACCACCCATAGTTCATTTTCATATCAAATATGAGTGGCAGAAATGAAATATATGAGTGGTAGGAAAGAAATATAAGTGATATATTTGATATTAAAATAATATAAAGTGATATGCATGTAATATTAAAATTTTAAGTGCTATATATGTAAATAAAATGTTATAAAATGGTATGTATGTAAATTTTTCAAAAAATTAATATATAAATATATTCTTTTGTTTTTGTTTTTCTCAATTCGGAGCGTCTTTCCTTTCCTTGTTCAGCTCGATTTATTACTTTTTAAATATGCCGTTTTACCCGCAGCTTGCAGTCTCACAGCTCTTATCTCTCCTGCCTCGCGACATGGCGGACTCAAAAGAAACCAGCGGCGCCATAGAAAAAGCTCCCAGCGAAAACCCTAATTCCAACACTAGCATCGACTCTACGGCTTCGACGGATGGCGGATCTATCCCCGAGATGGCACCCCGTGTGCCTAGTAGAACTCCCTTCACCAGCCTCAGCCAAGTCGACGCTGACCTTGCCCTCGCTCGGGCTCTTCAGGAGCAGGTAAAGGATTCCGATCACATATGCTACTATTCTTATGATATGGCGGCCTGGCGGGCCAGGTGTTGGAGCTAGGTTTTTTAGGATGTCGGCTTTTCGTGAATTCGATCAGGAACGGGCGTACATGTTGCTGAGGATGAACGGTGGTGAAGGCAGTGATTATGTGAGTTCGGATGGCGGCAGCTATGAGGACGAGGAAGAACAATTGGATGGGGACCCGGAGGAGACTTATGATGAACACGGTAGTGTGGAGGGTAGTGATTATGGGGAGGATGCTTTCGATGCTAATGAGAGTGGCATTAATCCAGAAGATTTTGACAACGACGAGGCATATGCAAGGGCCCTTCAAGATGCCGAGGAACGTGATGTTGCCGTTCGGTTGATGGCTCTTGCCGGATTAAATGATTGTAAGGTTTTCTTGTTCATGTTCCTATTTCCCGTGGTTTTTTATTCTGTATTAGTTTAACTGATCGTTTGAACCCTGGTTTTTTTTTGGGGGGGATAATTAGGGGGTGTTGCAGCAAACGGGAATCATGAGGGCCACGATCAGGTAAGAATGCGTTTTTTTTTTGTTATTTTATTTTATTGTTGTGTGGTACTAATTCCTGCTAACTGATTGCCTTGCATGCATTTGTTTTTTGTAATTATTCTGAATTTGTTGATTTAGAACTTTAAACCAAGAAACAGAAACCTCAAGAAACTAATTGACTTCCTTATCCTATCATAAATGTAAATGTCAAAGGCTGTCTCCTCAAAGGCGTTTTTAGATCCATTTACCAATTTAATTATTACTGAGTTGGTAATATTGGCATTTTATTATGAATATAAGTTTTAATCACCTCATATTCAAAGCGGAAAAAAAATCTGGTTGATTTACCCCTTTATCTTTAATTCCATGTAGTTAACTGAAGCTAACTCAAAATTGAGTCTTAAAAATCTAAAATTATATCATTACATTGAAAAATATCATTTTTTTTTCAATCAAAATAATAAATCCTGCACCATCTACAGCAGTAATGCATTTCATGTTCTGGTCAAGTTGATTTCACATCAAGAATAGAGATATAGGAATGACTGAAGGATACAATTATGAAAATTTCAAGATTTCCATACCGGAAAGAATTGTGGTCTTTGCTGTATTGGTTCATGATTTACAAATTGATGGTTATTTGTCTCTGTTGCTGGTCTTGTTAATTTTTTTACCATAATTATTGGTGAAAAGGCATCTTTTTTTTATAATACTGTATGAATAGAAGCGAATTCTTGATGCTAGAATGTATGGTGTTTTGCTGCCTGTACCTGGAAAGTCACTGGTGCTAAGCATTTGTCATTCACATGCTTCTAGGAAAGTTATACAGAAAGCAAGTGCTGGATGGGATTTGCTTACTTGCTGGATTTCACAGGGCTTTCCTTAAAAGTACCAGGGCCAAAATGATTTTCTGCATATAATGATGTACTGTCATACTTTCTTACATGATACCTTTTTCCTTTTCTCCATTTTATACTCATACTATGTTGTATTATCTAGTTTCAAAACAAAATTAGAACGAGGCATAATCTAAAGATTCATCTGGTATTCTACACTAACCAAAATATGACACAAGCAAAGCGGAAGCAGTACCATATGAAGTCTAATGCTATGAGTAAATGTCATTTGTCTAGTTTGTTTGTGTTGAGAAAGAAGGGTGTGAATTAAATAGAACGCCTAAAAAGTTGGAAGTTAGGTGGTTGTTTAATAGTAAATTGAGCTTAATGTAAAATTGTAATGCTTTTTAGAGTAATTGAACCTCATTTTTTGAAGTTAAGTGGCTGCATTGACCTCATTTGTTTTTCACATCACATGATGGAGAGTTAAGAGTGCAAAGCTTAACATGAAATTGTCACTTGAAATTCAGCTAATTATTCTTCTAAATTATGAATTATTGTTGTCTCATAAAAATGTAATACTTGAATCTTTGAAATGCACTTCAATGGAGTCAAGCAACTATTCAGTATAGCAATTTTAGTAGGGTTCCATATTTGAATGAGGAAAATTTATTTTCTAGCATTTAAAATCTCCTTGAGGTGTGACCTTTCAGGCAAAGTTTTGATAGTTAAAATAAATTGAAAACAAAGGCATATACATAATATAAAATAATGAGACCTATCACCTATTCATGGTTGATGGCTTAAGATGGCCAGCACTTACAATTAATTAGTGCTTGATGTAGTAATGCAATAGATTAGTATCTAATCTCTCATGATGCTTATGCCAAAAATAAGAACTTATATGGTTATCAAAATTGATCAAGTACATGATTCAATTAGATAAGATGCATTTGAAGATAAGAATAATATAAGATATTATATAAGTTTATTAATTTTACTATTACCTATACAAATCAGGTGTCAAAATGCATGCCCAAAATTGAGAAAAAACTAGCTAAAGTTTGAACAAAAATAAGGAGGATGACATGTTGCCCGATGTGATGCAAGTACAAACTCAAACAATAACAACAACAACATCAATCCTTTATCCGAATACGCTAGGTTGGCTACATGAATCCTTTTTCTCCATTGTGTCATGTTAAAAGTCAAATTCTCATTTAAATACAATAAAAAAAATGTCATTTCTAATATTTTCTAACAAAGTCTTTTTAGGTATACCTCTACCTTTCTTAACATAAGACAAATCTAATACATTTACTCTCTTAACCGGGTCATCAGAAGGCCGCAGTTTTATGTGACCAAACCATTTTAGGCGGCTCTCTCTAATATTATCTTCCAGTGGAGCTACTCCATCTTTTTCAAATGTATGCTCGTTTCATGTCCTTTTTCTAAGAGTGAAGCCACTCATCCACCTGAGCATCGTCATCTCTGTAACATTTAACGTAATATTATGCTTCTCTTTTAATGGCCAACATTCTGCACCATAAAGCATTGCAAGTCTCACCGCCATCGTATAGAATTTTTTCTTAAGTTTGAGGAGAATTTTTCTATCACACAAGAAGTCTGATGCATTCCTCCACTTCAATCATCCAACTTGAATTCTACTAATGATATTCCCATCTATTTCATCATCACTCTGAACAATTAACCCAATATATCTAAAACATGTAATACTATTAATGACTTGATTGCCCAAAGTCACAATCTCCCACTAGATCTATTACTACTAAAATTATACTCCATATATTCGGTTTTATATTTATTCAAATGAAAATATTTAGACTCTAAGGTTGACCTCCATAATTCATGTTTACCTTCAACTCCTCTATTCTTATCAACAAGAAGAATGTTATCAATGAAGAGCATACATCACGGTACAACCTCTTGCAAATGTCTATTAAGAACATCCATGACTAAAGCAAAAAGATATGGGCTTAAGGCTGATCCTTGATGTAATCAAACTGAAATAGGAAAATATTTGGTCAAACCACCTTGTGTTTGAGCACAAGTAACAACTCTACATATCCTTATTGAATTGAATATAAGCATTATTAATCACTTTGTTTTCTAGAACTCTCCATAACACTTCTCTCTATGAACTTTATTATATGCTTTCTCTAAATCAATAAATATCATATGTAGATCATCCTTATTCTTTTTATACTTCTCCATCAAACATCTCAATAAATTATATCTTCCATAGTAGACATACCCGACATGAATCCACATTGATTTTGAGAAACATTGATATCGCGATGTAACCTATGCTCCATAATTCTCTTCCATTGTTTTAAAGTATGACTGTATGACACATTAACTTAATTCCTCTATAATTCACACAATATTTGCATCACTTTTATTCTTAAAAATTGAAATCAACGCACTCCTCCACTTATATGACATCTTTTTTGTCTTTAAAATAATATTAAAAAGTTTAGTAATCCATGAAATTCCTTCATCCACTAAGCATTTTCACACCTCTATTGAAATATCATCAAGTCTAATAGCTTTTCCGCACTTCATTTTTTTTAAAGCTTCTCTAAATTCAGTTTTACTAATACATCGATAAAAATAAAAATCTCTATGTTTATTTAGAGTTTTAAGGTTGCTAAAGTCAATCATTTTCATAATCTTCATTGAAAAGCTTAGCAAAATATCTCATTCACCTTTGTTGAATATTCTATTATAATAAAAGCACTTTTGGATTTTCATCCTTAATTCACTTCATTTGAACTAAATTCTTACTTCTCCTACCTATTTGTTTGACTAATTTATACATATGTTTCTTGTCCTCCTTAATATCTAATATATTATATAAATCATTAAAAGCTAAAATCTTTGGATCACATATTGTTTTTTTAGATTCCTTACGGGCATTTTTTATATATTTTCCAATTTTCAAAGTTATATCTAAATCAATTTTTATCACAAAGCTTTTTATTTTAACTATTTTCTTACACTTTTTTTATTCCACAACCAACTATTTTTTACTATTAGGAGCTTTTTCTTTTGATACTCCAAGCATGTTCTTTGCAAAATTCTTAATACAACTAGTTATTTTTTTCCACATAACATTAGCCTCCACAGACAAAATATTAATATCTAGAATCTTACTCAAAATAAAAAAAAAATCAAAATTAAGTAATGGTGAAGATAATGGAAGAAAAGCTATATAACTTACTAGCATTTAACAAAATTTGCACCACATAATTTAAGAAAAAGATAATAAATAATTAAAAGGATAATTGATTTTTGGGAAGTGCTGAAGATAAAAATGCATTAACTAGAGACGCTTATCAACTTGGTGAAGGTGCCTCTCTTATTTGTACTATAGCTATATTCGTACAAAGGCGCTAAAAGGTGCTTTTCTGATGGTAGATATCGTGGGCACCTTGTGATTTGAGATGACAAATCTAGTTTTGATGATTTACTAATTACTTTGTAGGGAGCATTTCACCACCATATTTACATAACATATTCAAATCTCAATTTGTCAGAATCAAAATTTTTTCTATTCAGGTAGATTAATGTAGAATATTTTCACTCAGTTACTTTCAATACAAAAATTCAAGGGCCTCTCTTATTTGTACTATAGCTATATTTGAGTTCCCCATAGCAGTTGTGATGGGGACATCAGAGCTTGGAAAGTCTATCAGAGACGTGGTCGTCAATCTACGACCAGGATTGAGTCGATGTATTTCTGAGTCGTATTATGTATTTGTTTTTTATTATTTTATGTTATGTTATGTTGCATTTGTTTTGTTATCTTTTTCACTTTTACCCCTTACTTAAGGGAGGTCGTGTGTAAGCCCAAAGGGCGTTGTCGTCTTTTATTTCTTGAGTCCTTTGTACGAAGTTACAAAAGTTGTACATGTGAACCAACCCCCTAATGCGAAATAAGCACAAGGAAAGAGCAATAGGCCAGACCAACCTACAAAAATGAAACGGTCCCTCCGTAACCAATCATTATATATAGCCCTTATGTTTTCTTTTGTTGCTTAATGATTGAATGATAAAAATTTTCCCATTGCTTGAGTTCTTTGTGAGACCTTGGGAGTTTTTGAAGAAAGAAATCCCTAGGAGAGGGAAATCGGATATCCCGCCAACCTTGGAGACGGTCGGGTTTGTGGTTCGTTCTATTATTTCATCTTTACCTCGTTCCCCCACCCTACACCACTGGCCCACCGTCCCTTTCACCGCCCAAGCCGCCGGCCATATTAGCCCCACTCTCACCTTCGGCTAATTTTCCCATCTCCACCCCTTCCGATCCCTCCTTCCTTGCCTCCACCACCATCCACGGTCACCACATAAGCCGTCGGCCCCCCACTTGGCTTCCTCTCCATCATTGCTTATGAGTACTCCATTTTTGAATAATTTAGGTAACTCAATGACTTTGCAAAATTCAAATTTATTTGAAATTGAAAAGTTACCTAAAATATCATTCTTATTTTAGGAAAGTTCCCAAATCTTTCCTATTGATTTTAAGTTAAATTAGGATGAAATATCTCATCCCAATTTTGATTCCCTAATTTAAGGAAGCATTAAAAGCTTCCTTAAAGCCCCTCCCTAGCCCATTAAGCCGCCGGCCCCCCTTGTGTTTTCCCCTCTTGGTTTGTGTTCAAACCTTTCCAAGTTGGCCTTCCTAGAAAAAGGAAATTTAATTTGAATTTGAAAACTTTCCTAAATTATGAGATCTATTTTTGGAAAGTTTTATAAATTAAATCCTATTTGAATTTAAAATTCAATTGGATTTAAATTTACCTTTCCTATTATTTAAATCCAAATCAAACAACATTAAAGGCTCTCCCTACATCCCTCTGCCTCCTATGGAAGGACCCCCCCCCCAAAAAAAAAATAAAAAATAAATTAACCCCTCTTGATTTCTTTCATATTTACTAACCCCTCTTTTGAGAAGATTTCAAACACCTTTCCCTCTCTCCTAGCCGCCCCACCCTTTCCTAAATACATCTTAATCCTTTCCAAACTAAAAGGATTATTTGGGGAAACATTTGCTTGATTTCCCTCCACTCTTCTAAATTTTGAAGCTAAATTCTCTTCTATGATCCCACCCATGGCCGGCCACCTCTCCCCTCTTCCCCTTGGTAATTTTCAAGATAAGCCCCTCTCTTTCAATAGGAGCCTTCAAGGGAAGTAGCAACTATTATCTTCAACATTTCAGCTCTTGAGAGAACTTCCTCTCTAGTTGAGCCTTCAAGGAAAGTAACGATGATCATTCTCAACATTTCAACTCTAGAGAGAAACTTCTTCTCTTTGGTTGAACCTTCAAAGGAAGCTACGACAAACACCGTCAACCTTTCAATTGTTTCCGGGCCTCGACAAGGGTTAAATTCTTCTCTTTTTTAATTATCTTCCTAATCCACTAATCTTGTAGATGGTGATCGAGTTGCGAGGAATCGTGCTTCGCCTTCTGCCTAAGCTTAGTGATGCAATCAAAAATTTGGGAGAGGGCCCCAAATTTTTGATTACAAAAACATACATGGGATAAGAAAATACAGCTAAGAAGAGACAATTTTAGAAACTTTAAAACAAACTCTTACATTTCAAAACATATAAAAAGAACACATACAAACATAAAGAAACACTTACAACCTTCAAGACCAAACTTAAAACAACCTAAAGATGTTTTTCTTTCATTTAGAAGAAGGATACAAGTGGAAGGGAACTTGCAGATAGAAGAATAGATTAGAAGCCAAGACGAAGGATAGGAGTAACTCGCAAGTTATCCCAAGATAGAGAAGAAGAAGAAGTGGACAAAGCTCTCAAGCCTTTCCAAAAAAACCTCTCAGATTTTTATCCAAAAATTATCATCATAACCTCTCTATATTATCTCAAACATCTCCTATTTATAGGACCAAAGAGGCAGCCAAACAGTCACCACATCAGTCCCCAAATGGTACAACAAAACAGAGAAGAAAAGCTGCAGGAACCAATCAGAAAAGCCACGGAACCAAGCAGAAAAGCCACAGAACCAAGCAGTTAGCGGCAGAACCAAGCAGCCAGCGGCAGAATCAAGCAGCCAGCGGCAGAATCAAGCAGCCAGCGGCAGAACCAAAGGGGAAAAGACACGGGAAATTCACCCAGCACAGGAAACAAAGGGCCACAGCATAGGAACAACAAAAGCTCAAGATAAACCGGGGAGACAAGGAGGAAAACGAGAAGGTAGTATGGGGAAGGGAAATGGCCAATTCCACATAATAATGAGCTACCATTTTAGTTCAATAAATGAACTAAAAACAGCTCATAATGAGTTAAATTTCAGCTCAAAGAATTAATGAGCTAGCAAGTCCAAGAATAGTCAAGACCAAAATTTAGGATTTTGTTTTGACCCCTTCCCTGCCTACATCACTTAGTAAACGTAGGATTGAGTGTGCTTTCTATGTTGCTCTCTTATTGTTAGATTAAATATTTTTGTTGAGAGCTACTTAATTCGCATGTTGAAATTCTAAGTTATTTTGATAATCCAAGTGTTTGACATGTGACTTGGCCTAAGCATAACCACCCCTCTTATGTTTTATTTTGTCGTTTAAATTTCTGTTAGTTTTAATTATAATTATTTTTATCAAGAAATCGTGCAAGTTCTTATCGCATACAGTTAAAAGCATTGTTGTCATGCATCAAGTTGTTTCCTCGAATTAGCTTTCCATATGTGACTTTTCTAGTGGGCAGTGTAATTGTATGTGAGCATTTCCCTCCTTGGTGTTTCCTTATGTGGTTGTTTCACTTTTTATCGCTTCCTTCTATGATTGCTTCTTTCCCAGTATTTTAGCTATGATTGGTGATTTGTTTTTGTTTCCTCTCATCATTTTATTGCAGCAGGGAAAAATTGGGAATTTTTGAAACTTTATTTTAACGTTGGAAATTTACTGTTTTGCTGAAACTAAGATTGGAAATTTATTCTTGCTAGAATTCAATTGCGTTGAATTGAAACTTACATTACTTAGCTCTTGACAGATTTCAAGAAGTTATTTGTTTAGATCAATTGCGAACTTTAGAAATTGTTGAATTAATTTTGGTTCCTCTAATTCTTATGTGTGTTGTTGGATTGGATTTTTTGAGCGATTGCAAGTCTTGATCGACTTTTGGGGCTAGTCTCCTTGCACCGACATGAGTACTTGATCTTTCCTTTGGCGATTTTTATTAATGTTCCTTTCTGTAAAATATTTAATTTTTGGGTTGTATGCATAAATAAGATTTGTCAAGTTTTTTGATATTAGTTGGATTTATTTTGTAGAATTTCATTGTTGTTTTCAGATTTGTTGTTGAATTTTTTATTTTGGCGACTTTTAAATTATTGATCCGAATGAATAAAGTATGTTTTTTAATTTACATCAAAAGTGTAAATTCATAGCTGACAAAACTGTTAATTTTAGTTTTTTTTTGTGTGTTTCTTTATGCTTCTCATCCTAGATTTACATTAATAAATTGTGGACACTAAAAGTTCCTACATCAAAAAGGTTCTGGAAGTCAATACAATAGCTCACGTCTAGCTTTGAAAAAAATAAAATCTCATATTAAAAAATAGTTAAATGTGCATTCTGCAGTGTCAATCTTTGGAAAAACATTAGATTTGTCTCATATTTCAGATTAATCTTGGATTATAGAGCCTTTTATCCTATCGTATTTTAAAATATCAGGATGCATGGAGAGAGGTTGATCCTGATGAGCTATCATATGAGGTAAAACTAGTTTCGTCGCATCATTTATTAATCAAAATATAAGACCACATATAATCTTTGATATATGTCTAATACTACAGGAGCTTGTTGCATTGGGTGAGGTTGTCGGAACTGAGAACAGAGGTCTTTCTATGGATACTATAGCTTCCTTGCCGTCAGTGTGCTATAAGGCTCGCATTGGAGAGGATTGCAATAGCGATCAGTAAGTTCACTTCTTGGAAGAATAGAGCACAAGAAGCTTTTGTATTTTTAATTTTTTTATTTCTATTACTCATGAGAAGTTGTTCAATGCGTAGTTGTGCATGCGCTTGTTCTTCTAAGGTCTAACAGCCTTCCAATGGACTTCTAAGATAAACAATTCTTATTCTTCTTTAATTTTTCTATTGAACTGTACAGCTGACCATGCTCATGTGTTTGACTTTAGTCCTTATTATGTGAAATACACCAATTACAAGAAATTACATAACCATTGGTATTCTAAATTATCCTATGACTTGTATTTCTGAGTATATCTTTTAGGAGTCAAAATAAAAATATTCTCTGTTTTTTAATGCCCATAAATTGATTAGAAATAAAGACTGGAAATTGAATTCCTCTTTTTCCCATTCATTCTCCTTTCTTTCTCTCGAACAATAAAACACTATTCTTCTAAAATCAAGGAAATATATCGAGAGTGCTCCTTGAGGGGCTTAAAAAGACAATTTCCCAGTTTTTTCTTCTAGGAATTTAATAAATAAAAAATGAGCTAGAAATGGAAACCACTTTTTTGTATTCATTCTCTATTCCAACAGTGGAACTAGGAATATCCCATTCTATAATGAAAGTATATTGAGAAACCATGCTTGAAATAAAAGTTTTATTTTCTCTTTGCAGCAGGAGAAATAACAATTTGGTTCTATAGTGCTTCCATCAATGATCAATGAAAGGATGAAATCTTAAAAAACCACAAATCTATCTTGTGTAGTTTGGTGTTGTTCTGGAAAAAAAAACTTATACGAATGAGTCTGTGTTGAATTTATATATGAAAAATAGTTGGATATAAGCTACTATTCGAAAGTGGCTTGTTATTTCACAGAAGAGAATTTAAACCTGTCATTTTAAATTATCATTTTGATATTTTGATGTTTTGTCATCTTTTATTTCATAATACAAGTATCACCCATAAATTGATAAGAAAGAAAGTCTAGAAATTGAAGTCCTCTTTTTCCCATTCATTCTCCTTCCTTTTTCTGGAACAATAAAGCGACTTGTGGTTTTTTAAGATTTCATCCACAAATTTATCTTTGTATTCATCTACCTTGTTTATTTGAAGTCAATCTTTGTAGTTTGGCGTTCTGGAAAAATAAAAAAAACCTATACGGATGAGTCTATATTGAATTTATATAGGAAAATAGTTGGATAAAAGCTACTATTGGAAAGTGACTTGTTATTTCACAGAAGAGAATTTAAACCTGTCATTTAAATTATCATTTTGATATTTTGATGTTTCTTAATCTTTTATTTCATAATAAAAGCATATTTTAATTTGTTCTGTTTTCATCTTCTTTGAATGAGAAGCCTGAATCAGAATTGTTGAGGTTATTCATAATTTCATATTATAAATAGCTGTTGGTTCTGATCTGTTTGTATGCCCAGGTGTGTCATTTGTCGGTTGGACTTTGAGGATGGTGATTTATTAGTTGTGCTTTCATGCAAGCATAAATACCACACAGAGTGCATAAACAAGTGGCTTCAAATAAACAAGGTAATTGGGTTGTTTGTGAAGGTCACGTATAAGGGTTTATGTATGTGGGCTTGTGTGTGGAAATATGATTTTGTTTTCATAATCTATTTTTTTGTTCTATTTAACAGGATCCTTTTGTGTTTTCCTTCATTAATCTATTTACTATAGCTTAGAAATTTGATTTGATTGCTAGTTTTCAAGCCATGTTTAAAATATCATTTACTTGACTGCATTTAGGGTTGTGAATTAACTGGATATGTGCACATATGTTGCTCGTCTCCTTTCTAAAATCTGAATGCGATATCCTATATTTAAACTTATACCAGATGTGAAATTCTTTTCTTTGTGAAATCTTAATATCCTTTAGTTTTGTTAATATTTAGATGTTTGAGTGAACTTTTGACCCTTATACACATATTTGCTGCATTTTATTCTGCATGGTGTATTATTCAGACTTTGAAAAATATACTCAGATTTCAACTAATGCAGCTACATCGAAGCACATCAAACCCTATTTTTGATTGTTGACATGCTCGTCTATATATAAGTAGAATAACATATTTTAAATGCTTTTTTTTTGTAAATATATACCTCCATAACCTTTGCACTTGTATTAGTGATGGAAAAATATGAAGGATTATACTTGCCAAATGCACATGATTTCTGAGTTTTGGGGAGCACATTGTCATTCTAAGTTTCAAGGTTACTATAGTTGTTTTTTAAATAGTTTTGATTTTTATTTGTTTATTGTGATTTAAATATGCCCATGATAATGATTTTTAAACGGGTTGTGCTCTCTAATATCTGTATTGATTTAGTTCAGTTCAGCTGCTGGTTCCTTTTACCTAATTTGTAGTTTGTCACTGAGCACATGATGATTTCTTCTCTATAATTGTTGAATAATATTGCTGGCTATTGTAGATAATGTCACTGATTTGATGATGGTGTGTGTCTCCTTCACTGCTACATGTGCTTGATTCATTTCCTTCTGTGGGTGTGAATTGCGGCTGATATATGGTTGCTTTATTCTTTGATGTGGTCCGCTAAATTTCCTTATGTGCAAGTTCTATTGATTTGCAACCCAAGCATTGTGGTTATAACCGGACTTTGCCTTCGTTGCTGAGTGTGCTGGTTCTTGATTTTCATTGTAGCTAGAATTTGGAGCTTTTACAATTGACGGAATTCGGTATTTATTTAGTCTGGACTTACTGTTTTTATTCAATTTAGGATTGGTTGACTCAAGACTTCCATTTTTTAGCCAAAATTTGGGATCTTGAGAGCTTGTCAATTTTGGGGTTTAGTTTATGCGTAACAAAATTCTAGATTTTTACTCAAATATACGGGTTGGTTGAATGTAAACTTTTTGTTTGCACTGCAAGTGTTGATGACAATTTACGGGGGAATCTTTCTTCTCGAACCAACTTGAGGCCTTGATCTTTTATTTGTTGAACTTTTATCCAAATTTTTTCATCTACATCACATAATTTGTGATGGGTTCTGTTGTCTGATTTGGATTTGGTCAAATCTGCTACTAGTTTTTTTTTTTAATTACGGTGATAATATTTATTGTTCCGTTGTTATCGATCCCAACTTTCTTACGCAGTTTCAATTTTGGATGCTAATTAAATTATCATTTGGTATGATTTTTGTGCCTTCTTTATTTTGATAAAAAGGTAACCTATTTTCCTAAATTAAAGTTTGATTGCAAATCTGGCTTTTGTGTGTGCCTTTTCTCATCTTATTAGATTTACAGCAGTAAACCCTAGATTTTAAGACATCCTACATCAAATTTGATATCATAGCTTAAGGTTGATTAAAAACTTCAAAGGATAGAAATTTTGACAACTTTTCAAAACCAAATGGTTGAATTACTACACGAGTAAAACCAAATGTGTGAAGATGTTTGAACGTTTGGAAACAAATGCATTTCAACGATATGAATCAGAAGTTGGATATATTGAAGAACCTATTCACGTTATTAGGTGATAATTATTGTTGGAGAAATAAACCAATATAGACATCATTAGGTTTATGGCAATCACTGACATTACATTTTTGACATAGCATGATGACAAGGGTACAATTGAGGCATCTACATTCAATTAGAAAATATATTGTGAATTATTTTTTTAGTTATTAATTTATATGAACAACATTTTTGGATGACAAATGATGTCAGCGAGTTTCAAGTAAGACATTCATAATTAAAATTAACTAGGCAAGCAAAAAATGTAATGGATGAGTATTGAAAAAAGATAGGGAAGATTGGGTACATAACCTACAATTACTTGGGCTGGACTGAAAGAGTTAAAAGACAAATATAGCCATGTACAAATTTGAAGTATTATTACAATATAAAATAAATAATGTTCTTAAAAGAATACGCTATTGATTTAGGTCTAATTTGAGATATGATATCAAATGAGAAATGGCCCTTCATCATATTTATTCACTTGAGCAGATGCTGAGATTTTTGCACCTAAAAAACTTACTGCATACATTGGAACCGTCTCTTTTTTGTCAAAAATATGGAGCTAAATATTCTAGATTTATTATATCTGTAGTAGCAATACTATTAACAAAGAAAACAAAATCTATTGGCACTATACGTGGCTCTAAAATTAACGTCAAAACTTGATTGAAATGTTATCAAATAGATCACTTCGCAAATGAATGTCCTAGTAAAAATTTGCATATTTATATGAGATTTATTAAAGGACGATATTCATGGATTCAATGAGGAGATTAATGATTTTTAATTAGTTGTGCTTGAAAATTCTTTGAATGTTTCGCAATGCATCATTGCTATACCTAAGGTTGAACTTGTTGGAAAGATCTTTTAAACATATTTTGAGCATAATGATAGACTTTGTAGAGTCATTATTGATAATGAGAGTTGCATGAATGTTATTGGTAAATTTGCTATTGATTGCATGAATTTGAAAACTAAATCGCACCCATAAGCAAACAAAATAGGTTGAATAGATCATATTGTAATTATTGTGACACATAGTTGCTTGTTGGCCTTTCAACTTGCCACATATACTGATAATGTGTGATGCTCTGCTTATGCATGTTGCTCATATCATTTTGAGTAGATCATAACTCTATGACTTAAATGTGACTCATTTTGGAAAGTCTAATACTTATTTGTTTAAGAGTAATGGGATTGAGGATACTTTTATGCTAAATGCAAAATAATTTAACGCTCCTAGTGAATTTTAGAAATATTTTCATATTTGAATCAACATACTTTTGAAAGTTAGGGTTAGGCAAAATAAGGGATTTTTTATAGCTATTGAAGTAAAAGATGTTGTGTTTGTGAGCTTATGTGTTTGAGGAAATTAATCAAGTGCTATTTGAATTTTGAGATGTGTCTTGTTGATCTTCTTGATTAATTACCACCATCTAGTGATATACAGAAAGCCATTGGTTTGATTTATGGATCATTATTATGTATGATTAATTACCACCATCTTAGATCTGCAGCAGTAATCTTTAAAATTATCTTGCATCAGTTAGTTGAACACTAAAAAAAAAAGAAATCGTTATATGTATGCTGATTGCAAATTATTTTATGATGGGCGGTCAGAATTAAGTAGCTATGATCTAGCTTAAATATAACAAGAACTCTTATTCTTGTTTTGTATTGTTATTGTTAGCTTCTGCTAGCATTATAATGTTGCAGTACTACAAAGCTATTAGTAGGATATTTCATTTTTGTTATCCCCATCTCATTATCATGTAATGTTTAAAAGGCAATGCACTTGAAATAAGGGCTTAAGGCTAGAATCAGATGATAATAAAATTACTAGATTCATCTGTGAAACCCTTAAGTAAAAGAAAGCGAACTCTTAAACATCGAGGCGCCTTTTGGTGTAATGACCGAAATTTCAAAAAAAAATAATAATAATAACTTCACAGTTAAGCATGTTCATCCTAGAGCAATTCTGAGATGGATGACCTCTAGTAAGTTACACCAGTAGGACAAAACCGTGAGGCTCTTAGGTCAAGGTGGACAATATCTCGATATTTAAGAGTTTGGACTGTTACATCATCTTTGCATAACCTAAATCAAAGAACTTACCAGAAAAGCTGAATTTTTTGTTTTACCCTGAAATTGCACTTTAAGAGCTTGGTTTGGGAGAAGTAGACTCTGTAATTTCTTGTTAATTCCGTTTTAAGAAGCTATTGGTAGAGAAGGATGGGTTATTAGCTGGTAACATGAATATTCTTTTATAATTTGAATCTGAGGATGCTGCCATTATTGTGTTGATCTACAGGTTTGCCCAGTTTGCAGTACAGAGGTATCGACTTCGTGCGAGAGCCAGGGCCAAGTTGAGTGAAGATGTCTTGCCTTTGTATTCTGACGGTAGCTGTAGTAGAGCTACTTTGTTTTTTTTTTAATTTTTATTAGAAGTGTTGTATTCTACACAAGGGACAAAACAAGCTTGCATATCTTATCCATTACTATACTTGCCGGCCATTTACTGTTGTTTTGTCCTCTACATTCATGCTTAGCTTAATGATATAAGCTATTTTCATGTGCTTAGCCTTTTAGCATCTTGAAGGACATGGATGGCGGTATAAGAGGAGAAATTATTATGTGTGGAGATCGGACTGCAAGAATCGTCTAGATTTGTTACTTTTGTAAATACTCAGCAAAAAGACAGCAAATATGCGTTTATAATTGTATATTTGCTACCCTTTTGTTGAATATTTGTAAAAGCGCATCAAAATGGCATTTAAAACGAAGCAAACATCCTACTAATTGAATATTTATTGCGCTTTTATAAGTCCTTAACAAAAGGGCAGGAACAGTGCATTCATAATGACATATTTGCTGCTCTTTTGTTGAATATTTACAAAAGCATAACAAAAGGGCAGATAAATGGCAGCAAATTCACATGGTTTTTGTGGTCTGGTCTCCAGACAAAATATTTTTCGTATAAGAGAGAAGAGCCACACATTTTAAAGGATAATTACTCATTTTCATACTTATTTTACCATCTGCAAAAATTTTGAATGGCTATAATTTAAGATAGCAAAGTAAAGCTGAAGAAATGATAACAGTTTTATTTTGTTCTTTTTTTTGCATTATTTTGTCATTTTAATTGAACACTTTATTTGACTAAGATTAGAAGCAGGCTATTAATAAGCTCAAGAAAGGCATTATTGTAGCTATTGGAAACATTGAAGGTTGAGTCGCCATCTGTGCTTAGAAAAAATAATTTGTGTGGATAATAGACGGCATCTAGAGATTAATTAGAACGTGCTATATTATTTTTTTGCTCGGTATTAGTGCTCAGTATTGTTGTGTATCGGATGACGTGTATAATACACAATTTGTATATTGTATACATTCATAATCTAGATGAATTTTTTCCGTCTGAATTCTGCACGGAATAATTTCGGATAAGATAGCCTTATAAGCTATCATGCAACTAGTTACTATTAACTAATAGCTCGATATGATGCTCAACCGATAAGGAATCTTTATGAAATTGAAGCCTTTTTAGTCTTAAAAAATGCTCTTTTAGACATTGATTCAATACATTCAGTAAATAGGGCTGCAAACGAACCGAGTCGAGCCAAGTATGTGAGTGTTCATGTTTGTGTTCATTTAATATCAGCTTGTTCAAGTTTGGTTCATGTTTGTTCGAGCTTTATTGTTTGTGTTCATGTTTGGTTCATTAAATTAATGAGTGTTCATATTCGGTTCATGTTCAATTCATGTTCGTTCGTTTAGTGCTTATTGAGCTTGTTCGTGAACATATTTATCGATTCTTTTTAATTATCAAACAAATACGTTCATGAACATATCTATGAACAAACACATTTATAATAAAAGTAATTGTCTATGTAACAAAGGCAATGATTATTTATATTTATTAATTTTATAGTCAAATATTAATTATTTTTATCTAGCTTATTCACGAGTTCAAAATCGAACACGAATCAAGCTTAATGTCGAGCTTGTTCACGAACTTCAAATGATGTTGTTTGTGAAGATAAATGAGCCGAACGCATTAGTGTTCAAGTTTGTTTATTTAAAAATCAAGTATTTAAAATATTATTCGTTTGTTTGTATAGCTAATTAAACGATCATAAACGAGCTTTAATCGAACCGAACAACGAGTAGCTCGTCGAACGTTTGGTTCGCTTGCAGCCCGATCAGTAAATATCTTATTATGACCGATGTGACTAAGGATGCTTGTCAATCTTAACTAATAAAGAATTTTTTATCAGGATTTTCAAAAGTAAAATTTTATGTAAGTTTAATAAATATTACACATTGATCCCTGTCATTCGACTTTGAATGTTTCAATTAATTTTGATATTCTAAGATGTGAATTAAAAAAAAAAAAAATACTAAAATGCCAAGCCTTGAAAGATGACACTTAACAAGTAATATTTGCATGATTAAGGGCAATCTCCAAGGGAAAAATCAATTTTGCACTCTAAAATGTAATAAAATTTCAAAACGCCATGATTCATATCCTATCGAACTGAATTTTTTTTTTTTTTGCGTGCTTCCTACAAAGATAACAATCTCTCATTTTTTGTGTGCTTTTCTCCTCGTTCGCGCTCGTCTTCGGCAACCTAATTTTTTGGCGTAGTTGAACAGTCAGATGCCAATATTGACGTTGCACTTTCACCTACCGAATTTTGGCGTGAGATTTAGAGTTCGAATGTAGCGAATGGCGAACGACATACGGTGGTGTGCAGTTCGGGAGAAATTATTTTGTGCGGACACCAGACGGCCTGATGACCAATCAGAATGCGTCACATCATCAGATATCGAGCGATACCTAGCAAAAAAATGATGTGACGCATTCTGGTTGATCTCAGGACGCTATTCGAGGTCCACATAGAATAATTTTTCTCAATTCGGTTGGAGATGACCTAAAGAGGGACTTAAAAAAAAAATCATGAAATACTATAATGAATGTAACATAAATAAATATTTATGATTAATTTTTTCTTTGAAAAGAAATTAAATGAGATAAAAATTTTATGTTAAATGGTGGTATAGTTTATCTTCTAGAACCGACGGAACGGAACCAAGCATCAACCTTGCCCTAGAGCTTGTTATCGTCTCGGATGGCGGATGATGTGGGAAAGCCCGATGCTCAGCTCTTTGAGCTCCTAACGTCTCTTCTCCAAGAGGTAACATCCTGTCTAATCGTTTTCGTTGTTTCGGATCTGGCTTCTGAACTTCAAACTTCATTTTTCCTTTCCGGGATCTGCAATGCCTTTTTTTATGAATTCCGGATTATGCTTACTTTCGGCTTGATGATTTCCATTTTAAATATTGAAAGTCGATATTCTGAATTCTCCGCTGCCCAGAATAGGATCGAATCCTAAGTGGCCTGAACCTGCGAAATTTTAGCGCTTTGATTCTTTTTTTTTTTCTTCTTCTTCTTCTGTTTGTTCTAGAGCATTACTAGAGATGCAATGCAATTTCTGTGATTGTACTTGTCAATTTCTACCTATTTGTACTTTATCCTACTTGTTTCGGCCAAAACCATTCATATTGATGGCAGTGCTTCTAATTCTCTAGCATGTGCATGATTAACAAATTTCAAATCCTGTTCTGCTGTCTTATTCTCTATATGATCTTCCCAATAGTCGCTCTGATATAGTCATTGAGCATTTTTAAATGCATCGCTCTTGCATCATGCGACTTCCTTATAGATGCGACTTCCTTATCGACTTTTACATGCAGCTTCCTATTTACATGGACTTGTATTTTTCGGGCCAAGCCTTTTCTATGTGTGCTTTTGAGTAGTGTAGCGAGTAATCAATTATTTAGAACTAATTTCTTTGGTGTCCAGTTTTTGATTTGATCATGGCATGGGCCAAAACCTTAATAAGAACCTTTTCTGGTCCAACATGAATTGGTAATTGCATGCGTTTTGATGATCTATTGGTGTTTCCTTATAGATGCATGTGTATGTATCTTCTACTTCTTGGCTTTCCGTATAAAAAATCACCTTCAATGGCGTCATGCAGCTCATGCCAGTCTGCCGAAAAGATGGTGTTGGCATTTTCTCACATCTAGTCATCATAAAATGACATTAATAATTGAAATGTGCTTTGCTTGAATAGTTAGGTCGCTTCTAGCGGCGATACATATTTGATCGCATTAAATTGTAAATTCAAACAATTCCCATTCAACAAAGTGACAGAATGGATTTGATTCAATTAGTTTTTGTAACACTCAAGTGAATCTAGTTTTTGTTTGGGTTGTAAAATTGGTTGGGAATCTGCTATAGGAAAACCCATTGTTTAAGATTATTATGTACTTTTTTTAAGATTGAGACGATAAAATTGTAAAACCTTTGATGAAGAAACAATGTAATGGAATTTCACCATTAGAATGCGGGATGACGAGCCAGTCCATAATACCATTCTAGACAATAAAATTTTTGAAGCACAATTAAAAGGCTATTTACTATATGTCAACATGGTTGAGGTTTGAAAAATGAAGCTGATAGGAAGCTATCCCACTGGTTTTGTCCGAGTTGATTTATGAGATTTATGATTAATTGCTTATAACTTGGATATGAGGTTAGCTTTACTTGAAACTTATAGGGGTGACGTTTGCCCGTAAATCCTATAGTTGCATGAGGCAATAGATACGCCATTGATCCTTTTTTTATAAGGAATGAATTTATTAAATAACGTAGAAAATTAAATAATTCTAATGGAAAATTACTCCTGTAACTTAGACAATTGTAGTATACCCAACAATATAGATGAGCTTCAATAAGGTGTCCTTTGTACCTAAACCCACTAGGATGTTGTGGACGAAGAAGATGACATCATTAAGGAAGTCCAATCCAATCCAAGGCCTGCCTAACGTTAATGGAAATCGATGAGGATACCAGGGGAAGCCCAAGGTTTGGTAACATCCTTCCACTCTTATCTTTCCTTTCTCCTGCCTTCTTTGACATGTCTTTTTATGTCTTGGCATGCCTTCTGAGTGTCCTGTTGGACGGTACTGAAAGTGGGTTTCATGGCATTAAGGTTTTAGAGTTTCTCTTCTTCATTCTTCTTTCTAGAGGGAAGCATATTGCAGATATTGTAGCAATCTTGAGAAGAGTCTTTTCTCAAAGCTTCCTCATTTCCTCTCCTCACCTCTCCCATACTTTAGCTTGCTCTGCCTAAGAAGCTTAAAGTAGCGAACAATGAGAGAGCTTGATGAGAGTTGAGTCACGGAGAGGTGCTTGCAGTGGTCAGTGTCCCCTACTAATGTTGTCTAAACCCTAAACCGCATTGTTGCAAGATGTTTCAAAAGTTTCACTCCCCCCAATAATATGATTGTTGCTACGACATTGAAGCCAACACTTTCTCCCAACTGCTATGAAATCCCTCTCCCCACGGACCCCACCACGTTGTGATCTCTTACAAGAAAGAGCTAGAAAAAGGTGGTGCCAACCTAAGTATATTTATTATGTTAAACAAATATTTTTCGTATTGCATTCTTTATAAATTGATCAGGTTCTGGTCATATTCTAACCATAATTTGCACATTAGTCTTTATTCTCTTGCAAAGGTACTTAGACAGAAGCGCATTGCTTAGTTCAAAATTACAATAAAAATAACCCAAATATATAGAAAGACATGCAAGTTAAGATCTAGCCAAACTCAGTAGGTGTATGGGGTCAAGGAAAATCATAAGCATTTTTAAACTTGCTCACAAAATGTTTAAAATGGACCAAATTACCAACTTAATTGGCCCAATTTGGTTCATGTGAGAGAGAACCAACCAAAACATATTAATATATTAGTTTAACATTTTTCATATTGACTCTCTTTAGACTCAGGCAAGAAATTATATGGTATAAAATCACCATTTGTGTCGAAACTAAAGATACTTGCATTTGCAATTAGTCTTTTAGATTCACATTGTACTTGGCTTTCGTTGTAATCAACGCAAGTAACACCATTTTTGCTTCCTACTTAAAACATATAAAACACACTATTTGGCTAGCACCCTGGGGATGTGATTAGCAGCTGTTTTTGTGCTTCAATGATTGTGATAATGCCCTCAAAACGGTGTATAAGAGACTGAACTCGCTTGATTTTTATCTAAGTAGTTTATATATAATTCTATGACCAAATTCAAGCTTCTACTGGATATTTAATATCCAGAAAATCGCATTCTTTTGGTGAATATGGGCATTTGAAGTATGCATCTTTCTCTTTGTATGTGTGAAGGTGCTACAACCATTTCTTGCTTTAAGTTTCCAATGAAGTTTTAAGTTGAATACTTAAACGATTTCAATAGTTAGTTGACACATGAGAGGGAGTTGCACATTTGTGAATTAAGCTTAACATTCAAAATGGCTACTGGCTATATTGTTCTATCTGCTTAGTTTATCATGATTGTTTGGCTTGGAGTTTGTTTGGCAACCCAAATAACAGAATATTGTCCATACAATGTACGAAATCAATTACTTGGCATTAAATATATATATATATATATATATATATATATATATACTCACTCTGGTGAGGTATATAATTATTATCAATGGAATAATCAGGAAATGGATGAGTCAAATGTAATGCAGCTACTGGCTAGTACCTGTGACAGAAGATTGTAACAGTTATAATTTATACCACATATATCACTGAACATAAATTATGGACCTAGATTCATAAATTTGACTTCAAATAGTTAGAATTTGATGAATGATGTGATAACAAATCCCACTTTGTTAATACTGAAATTTGTTGGTTAATACTTCATGATGCATTTTAATTTTTCGCAATCAAAGATTTGATTTATAGAAGTTATTGCTCTTATAAATGCATTTGTTACAAAAGGATAGTTTTTCATTTATCAACGTTCTTTGTCATCTTCTTATCTTTACAGCAACATATTTCACAATATATAGAAAATAAATGTCTCCATTGCAGAACTTCACCTTAAAATTGACTAAAGAACCGACCATTTCATATATACAGGTAGAATCATTAAGCAACCAAGAGGAAGTTGAACTAAGGGAGAAGATAGAAGCGCTGGGAATTGAAGTAACTAAAGTGCCTCCAAAACCTCCAAATAATCTCAATGAGGTATCTACTCAGCATCATTGATCATCCTATTTTCTTATTCTCCCTCTCAATAATTTTAATATCTGTTGCTTATTAATATATTTAGAAGAAGTACATAAACTAATTTTTACTTTTGAAATTTATTCTCCCTATGTTCTTTAGAATATAAGATGCTGGTGAGACCTACAATATTTTATGACATAGAATGGTAGTCATTAAAAGAGAAGCATAAAGTTAAGTGTTGCAGAGATGAGGATGCTTAGGTGGATGAGTGGCTTCACTCTTAGAAACAAAATGTGAAATAAGTATGTACGTGAAAAAGGTTGTAGTAGGCTCGATTGGTAGATAAGATTAGAGAGAGTTACCCTAGATGGTTTGGACACATAAAACATCTACTTTTCAATGACCCAGTTAGGATAGTGAATGTATTGAATTTGATCTATGTTAAGAAAGGTAGAGACAAACTTAAAAAGTCTTTGCTAGAAAATATTAGAAATGATAATTTTTTATATAATTTAAATATGAATTTAACTCTTAATAAGACACAATGGAGAAAAATGATTTATGTAGCCGTCCCCTCTTACTGGAATAAAAGTTTGATATTGTTGTTATATTTTCTTTAGCGGGGGCACATAAACTAATTTTAATATTTAGAAGAAGCACAAATTAAATATTTAACTTTTGAACACATCAAATATCTGTAACTTTTGAACACATTAAATTTCAAATATCTGTACTATATATAAAGTAATTAAAATTTTATAATGCCCGCCCAACAAATCTGCCTGTATCCTTCTAATTAGCTCTCTCTCTCTCTCTCATTTATAGCTTGAGATAGCAGCTGAGCTTGACAGGTTATCAGCCAAGCTAGATGATGTGGACCAGATGATATCGTCAACAATGGCTACCAACCCGGAGGTTCGCTCGCTCCTTAGTAGCACAGCCGATGTATGGCTTCCGGTCATCACCGCCTCTGCCGATCAAAGGCGAAGCTTTGCTGTAAGCAAAAATAATGATGATCAGCAAGAGCCCCATGATTTGCTTAAGCATGAGGCTTCTGAAGACTAGGTAAGTTCCTTTTGAGAATGTTTTTATTGTTAAAAAAGTTTGCTAAAAATTTATTTGATAATTTTTTGAATAAAAATTCAATGATTTTCTGTGAGAAAATTTGTTGAGGTATTGATAGTTGTTAGTTGTATGTGTTTGAGCAGAAATTTCGTTATTGTATTTATATAATAAAAATTTTCAAATATATCACATTTTATTAGTATTTTGTAAGAGTATGTAGATATATGGATATTTTATGGTTGAAATATTACTCACGAATTTATGTCTGTATTTATTTTTGTGAGATGAGTTTTTGATATTTCTAATTTTGATAGATTAAGAATTTAGTTTTATTTAAATGAAAAATATATTTTTTATTTGTAATTAAATTATTTATATTTATATTTATGTTTAAAAATAAAATTTATGTAATATGAGTACATTGTGCGTATCAATTTATGCTAAGTATTCTTTGTTTTATCTATAAGATCGCTGATATGGATGAAGGCATTCGGTGAGAGACTTGCACTTGTTGCCAGTCCAAAGCAGCAAGGCAATATTTTGGGTGGAAGTGCTTGTGAGTAAGCGTCAATAAATGGAGATATTATTAGGTGCGGAGTGCGGAAGGGGAGAACTGTCCACACAAGTATTGGGTACTAGCGGTACCTGCACTCGGTGGTACCTAGTGCTTGTGCGGACGGTGTGCACTCCGCACCTAATAATTTTTCCAATAAATGACCCGAACAGTCAACACAACACTATTCTGACTAAAGTCGGATTTGGGTTAGACTTGTTTGATAAATGGGTTGAATTTGAATTGTGCATTTTGACTCGTTTGTTAAATAAGTTGAATTTCCAACCCGATTTTGATTTGAACATGATACATTTAATATATTTTTTTCCCATAAAAATTTTATTTGTTCATATAATTTTTTTTTTTGTTTTTTGTTTTTGATCAATTAACTTAAATTTTATGATCAATAAGTTAATAATATTTTTTTAATTAAAATGGGTTGTCAGTCATAGTTGGTCGATTTTGAGTCTACTTTTTTATCCGTTTATTAAACAGATTTGATTCGAGTTGATCAAATTCGGATAGGATCAATTTTGAGTTAGACTCAAATTCAATCTATTGACCCATTTTGACGCACCTACATGTATATGCTTGTAATAATTTGTGCTAGTGAAAGTGATGAGCATGTGCAAAATTTTACACATTAATGATGCTTAAGCTTGGAATGTGCCATGCGAAATCAATTTTTAGGTGCACAACGCAATCACATGATTCAAAGTATTTTATTATTAGATTAAACTTTAAACATATCTTCCTAGTAAATTATTAATAGGTTAGAGCTAGAGAATTGAGTGAGGTGAATGAGTAGAAAGTTCTAATAATTTTGGAAGTCAATCTCACAGAATGAAGTCAATATACTTTTCAAAATACACCCTTTCACCTCTTCTTTATAGAGTTGAGGGGCCTATAGGGGAGAAATTATTCTGTACGCAGTCTGAACGCAGACATAGGTTCGGATGCTGCGTATTTACTGCTTATTTATTGCGTATTTTTTGTGTATTTAATATTTTCTACGTATTTTTTTGCGTATTTATTGTGTATTTGGTGAGTATTATTTATTTGTTATTTTTTGGCACGAAAAAATTTTGTATAAAAAAATACGCAACAAATAAGCAGTAAATACGCAGCATCCGAACGCGTTCGGATTCCACACAGAATAATTTCTCCCTATAGGGAGACTACATCTATAATAAATAAAAAAATAGCACATAATATGATATTAATTTGACCTCTTATATTATAATTATTTTTGAAACAATTAAGCCAATTAAGACATATTCACGTGAAAACCTAAAGAACGTCCTTGGGAATAATGATGGTGTGTTGATATCTTGTTACATAATCGTTAACCTCAAAGACGATATTACAAAATCACCATATAATAAATCTGCAAGTTTCTCCATCACACTCCAACCATTCTTGCATCCCACGCTTAGACATTGTAACTGCAGCTTCTCCGCTTAAACCTTTTTTTTTTTTTTGTTTTTTTTTTTGAATTTACTAAATTCCAACTATTCTCAAAATTGTGAGGTGAGGTCATGATATGTTATTGTGTCAATTTGTTTTTGAAGATGATGATAATTATAAATAATTAATTTAAGTATTTATATTATTATTTATTTAAATAAATTTAAAATTAACATATATTTTATATTAGCATCTCTCTTTTTTTATTAATTCAATGGTCTGGAAAGTCTTTATGAACTCATTAAATATTAAAATATATACTGTGTAGCCATCAAAGATTTTAGATTCAGCCCATCCAAGCGAACGGCGCTAGCAACGCACTCGTGCACACCTAAAATTTTCACTATGCTTCATCACTTTCACTTAGCACAATATTATAACAAGCACATATACAGTGGTGGTGCGTCAAAATGGGTCAAATTAGAAGTAAAATTTTGGTCTAACTCAAAATTAGATCCTATCCTGAATCTTGATCAACTCGAATCAAATTATGCTGTTTAGAGTAAACGGATAAAAAAGTAGACTGCAAATCACCCACTTCATGAGCTGGCAACCCATATGTTAGATTAAAAAAAAAATACATTAGCTTACTTATTGTCATAATTCCCTACGTTAACTTGATCAAAAATAAAAACCAAACACAACACATCTTCTCTTGGGGG